CGGCAATCCACGGCGAGGCACAGCGACAAAGGGCCACTCCCCTTCCTTGATGTGGCCACGGAGGGCCTGGGCGGCCTGGGCCCAGCTCGCTGCCGTGGGCTGGCCGTTGGCCTGGCCAGCCGGACGGTCGTGCTGGCTTTGACAACGACGACCTCGCGCAGCCTGGCGCTGCTACGCAATCCGTACAGTGTGCCGCGTTCTCGTCGCACCGCGGCACGGCGACGTCCAGGGTCCAGGAATACAAGTCCAGCTCGCCGGAAAACCGTGGAAGGTTCCCTTTCTAATAAATAATTTTGAAATCACCGAAACTTGCACTTTTTTTGGTGGCGCTGGTAAAAGACTCGTGACAAACCGCGCATCTGCCCTTTTCCCTCCTCTCCCACGCTCTCGTTCTTTTCCTTTTCCCTCTCGCGGCGCGCTTAATTCGTCATGCTGCGAACAAAGGCGGCGAAGGCAGCGCGATGACGCGTGACCCTTTCTTTCATTTACAGTGTAGACAGTGCAGGCAGTGTAGCGGCGAGCCGCTGCAATTTTAACCGGCCAGCCGGGCCGCCGTTCCATTATGCCTCGGCGACACTCCGCGACCTTTCTTCCCCCATTACACATTCAGACTGTATTCAGACCGCACTCTCGGCCCGCCCGTGCAGGCCACCGCCGCCGACGTGCCCCGCCCCGCCCCACCCCGCCCTGCTCGGCGCTCCGAGGGACTCAAAAAGCTACTCCCTTTTCACCTTGCTGGCGCCCCGCTTGGCCGCGTGCAGGGCGTGCAGGGTGCTGCAGCCGAACACGGCAAGGCACGGCTAGGCCGTCCCTGCGCTGCCGGTCCGCGTTCGGCAAACTCCCCCCTGTTGCAGGCCCCGCCCGCCCCGCCCCTCTCAACGCGCGGCCTGGACCTTCACTGCGCTCGCCGCGCGCGTTACAGCACACCAGGCCCAGTCCGAACACCGCTTTCATCGCTGTCTCTCTCGCACTGCTCACGAGGCCCGCCGCAGGGGTGCGAGAGAGACAGAGCGCGTTGTTCGGAATCGCTGTGCAGGCCAAACTTTGTCCGAAAAGATGCCATTGAAAGTGGCCCTCCTCTCCCTTCCCCTCGGCGTCACGCACCGACTTAAAAATTAATTTTCCGTACAAAAGACACTTTATAAAGGGAAAGGTGTGGAGCCAACGAGCCAACAGGCACGTGAAATGAATAGAGTGGCGCCCGGCGGGGGCTGCGGGGGCTGCGGGGGCTGCGGGGGCTGCGGGGGCTGCGGGGGCTGGAGGGGCCTCCAAGTTTCTCGGAACACCGGGGCGGCCGGAGCGGCCGGAGCACTTGGTAACTGCTTTCTCTCTCACACCCCTTGTTTCCACGGTATCGAGTCAGGGCGAGTCGCAGCAAGGCGGCGTTGGCGGCGGCAGCTTGACGTCGGGAAGCGCGTTGTTTCCCGTCTCTGTCTTTCGTCCTTGCCAGGCCTCCGGAGCGACGCGTCTCAGGTAAGGAACAGCTTCGCCAGCCTCGCCGCGATTTCGGTTCGAATTTCCGGGAAGGCCCGAGCTAGAGGTGAGTGAAGCCCTGTGGAGGATGGAGAAGCTTCGCTGGCGAATGGCCGGAGGCAGCGGCGCCGATCGTGCTTGCTTTTGGCGTAACGCGTTACAACGCTGCAACCCGGTACTGTTTACGTAACGAATCGCTTTCCCGTGTCGAGTCCGTGTAGCGCGCCGGCGCGTGCTGTACCGTCGAGTGCCACTTGACGCCCAGATTCCACCCACACCGGTGCGGCTACTGCTTGCTGCCCGGCGGCCGCCAGCCCGCGCCAGCCCGCGCCAGCCCGCTCAGATAAGGGCCGGATTCCAAAGGCCACCCGACTGTGGCCTAATGCATGCACGGCCGGGCCGGGCCGGGCCGCGCCGGACCGGACCAGGGCCCACCAACATTGCGCACCAGCATTACAAGTTATTTTCTCTTACGGAAAAGGGGAAAGTTTCCAGTGGGCTGCTTGCCGTGTGTGAGACTGTGAGGCCCGCTCTCGCACTCACTTTACCCTTCGTCCTCATCCTGATAATGTGCTGCCCTTGTTAACCTTGCAGGGGGAGGGGGAGGCTGTCGGACAATGCAAAACAAGGGGAGGGGTACTTCCACTTCGCGCACCTTGGCTCTCTGCAGGGCGTGCCCCCGGCGCCGCCGCCCCCGGCCCCGGCCTCGCCGGAGGCCCTCCACTGGAGCGACAACGAGTACTAGTAGTAGGCTGAGCCCTTGGCTGAGCCCTTGGCTGGGCCTGGCCGTGTGCCCTACAGGGACCAGGCATGCGTGGGCTCGAGAGACACACACACGCCCGCACGTCCGCCCGTGCGCACATGTGAGTGCGCAAATAACAGCAGTTACACTGCAGAAGCAGGCCAACCAGCTCACTGGAGCACAAGCAGGCCCTGGAGTCCGAAGGAGTTTTCATAGAAACATTAAAAAGTTGTGAACACGGGGGAGTGTGTTGTCTGATTCTCGTCCCCCTCTGCCCCTGCCTGCCCCTCGGTCGACCCGTGGCGTGGCCCGGTGGCGCCCCAGAGCGGCCGTCATGTGAACTGGTGCTGCAAGAGCATGGCTAGCATGGCCAGCACGGCGAGCATGGCCCACCAGGGCGTCAAAGTACACCAGCGTGGCGGCGCGACCTGGCCCGACCATGGCATGGCGGCGGCCAGGGGAAGGGGACGGCCTCACCCGCTAAAAAGAAAGTTCCTTGGTTTGTGGCATTTTTAATTTTATTCCATTTTTTTAGCACACTTCTTGTTGCTTCGTGCTTCTGACAGGTGCGCGCGAGCCGGGCGGCTGAGTGTCACGTTCCAGGTACACACAGGCATGACTGGCGTGGCGTGGCGGGGCGGGGCGGGGCGGGGCGGGGCGGGGCGGGGCGGGGCGGGGCGGGGCGGGGCGGGGCGGGGCGGGGCGGGGCGGGGCGGGGCGGGGCGGGGCGGGGCGGGGCGGGGCGGGGCGGGCGGGGCGTCGTCTGGCATGGTATCGACACGATGCCGATAGTGAGTGTGACTGTGTGACGCGTGCGGCGGCGGTAAGAAGACGTCACCGCATTTCACGCATAAGCAGCGCGCTGCAGAGATCTCTGCGCCGCGCGAGGTTTGTCAGCCATTTCAGCGCTTGTGTGTGTGTGTGTGTGTGTGTGTGTGTGTGTGTGTGTGTGTGTGTCGCTGCCTCCGCGGGCTGCCTGGCTGCCTCGCGCACTGCTTGTCCTCCCCTCCGCGGCCCCCGTGTCGCGTTGGTGTCGCGGGCCGCAAAGTACACTCCACTCTGTACACTTTTTGCTGCTTTGCTGGCGCTGCGCGCCACGCCCCGCCACGCCCCGCCACGCCCCGCCACGCCCCGCCACGCCCGCGCTGCCGTCGCGTGCCAAAGTTTCGGTCAGGCCACGCTTCCGCTGCCCGCGCAGGCGATGTGAGAAATTGTCCAGCAGAGTGGATCCGCGCGCCCCGGAAAAGCGGAAAAGCACATCGCGCGTTGCGAAATGAACAATGGAAAGATGTGGCCTTTACTTTGGGGGACGGGGGGTAATCCTTGGGGGGGAAAGCTGTGCTTCTCGGATTGGTGCTGAGGAGTTTTAGCGAGTGCTGCGGCCATTGGGTGGGAGGGGCGATAGGTATGAGGAGCGGGCTGTCATTTGGGCCACACGGCCAGTGCAGGCCCCGAGGCAGGCCCCGGGCCCCGGGCCTTTGGGGCTTGGGCCCGGCCCCAGCCCCGCCAGGCCCGTATCAGACCCCCAGCACCAGGACGGGAGCCAAGCTCGGAGCCAAGCTCGGAGCCAAGGGCGCCGGGGAGGCTTGCCAAAGCGCCGAAAGCCATCGGAGCGACGAGGGGGAGGGGGAGTGAATGGAAGGGAAGTCCCGTTGCCGATCCACTGCGTCCTGCACGAGGCCCTGCACGAGGCCCTGCACGAGGCCCTGCACGAGGTGCTGCAGCGATCACTGCCACACTGGCCAGACACTGGCGGCACTGGCTGGATTATTCACTCTTCCATAAATTCTGCAGACGAGCGTCTCTCTCTCCCTCGGCGGCGCGGCGTCTGGTCCATTTCCCTGCAATAATGCACGGCAGGCAGCCTTGGCCGCCTCGGCGTCACCATGGCCATGCCAGGCTCGTCCTAGCTCGTCCTGCCCGAGATCCATCTTGATTATCACCAGCACCTTTATGATGAAATATGGCGGGGCGCGGCGTCGTCGACGACGTCGTCGCTGCGTCCTTATCTTGTCTTGGCACAAAGCTTCCCCCTCCGCCTCGCCTCCCTCAGCCTTTGCAGCACATTCAATATTTGCACGCGCCCCTTGATTTCTGCTCTGAAAATGAACTCCGCCGTCCCGTCGCCGCGCGGAGAAGGGGAGGGGTGGGGGAGCCGGAAGAATCCCCAGCAGAGAAGATACTGCGACGCTAATCCAATAACGCACTCTTCCGTGGCCGGGTCATTGCCTCGCGTCTTTTCGCGAGAAAATCGACCAGAAAGTTCGAGCTGGCGGGGAGGCGCGGCGTGCGCCTGGTGACTAGGCGACCCAGCGGGCCCCTCTGGCTCGCCCTGGTCCGCCCCGTCGGGAACGTTTAGAGGAGGAGGACTGCACACCGCCAGGCGAGCCGCCAGGCCAATCGTGCACGACAACCTTTTATCAGGTGCTTGGCAGAGCGCGATTCCGAACCAAGTCGCTGTCTCTCCCCCGCGCGTATGAGGGCCCGTTTAGGGAGTGCGAGAGAGACTGCCAGGAGCTATCTGTCAGGACATCGACACGCCTTATCGATTTAGTTCCCGATGCCCGTGATAGGCTTGGGGGACGTGCGGCCCGCCTGCAGGCCCGCCGTAGTGCCACCGACTGGGTCCTCTCGTCTCCGCGCAGCTCCGCGGACCGCCGTTGTCGCGTGGTGAGTAGAGAGTGAGTAGCCTTGCCCTTCAGCTTCGCTTCCGGCTGTCTCCAGCTGGTAGCGGGGCAGTGTCGTGTCTAGCCGCGCCGTGCCGTGCCGCGCCGTGCCGCGCCGTGTCACTGTCACGCTACATCGTCCGCAGTCCGCAGTCCATCGACACAACTACCACAACTACACGACTTCCCCCTCCGGCCGTGTCTAGCCGTGTCCAGCTGCATGCAACATGTCGCGCTTGCCTTCAAACGCCCCACCCACTTTCGCAGTTCTGCTACCACGGTGAATCAAGTCCAGGACTTTTATGTCACGCGCAGTGCAATAGGACGGGTGTAAAATCTTTACGGCAAATTTGGTTTGACTTTTTAGAAAGGTTTGAATCGTATTCAAAGTTCAAAGTTGATGACAAAGAGGCAGATCGGAGGGCGTGTCGTATGTTGCTGTTGGCTACAGTGATGCATTCCTAGAGCTACCTAGCCAGCCTGTCCCCTGCCCCAGAGCCGCAGTCCAATAGATCTTTGTTTTTTACTTCGTGAACATACGCGTGTCTGTCAGTGTCAGTGGTTGCTTATCTGATGCTGTTGCAAAGGTAGTTTGTGAAAATTGTTCGGTGGAACCTTCGTAATTTTCTTTAAATATCGTCAATATTTCGTTTTACGGGGTCTATAACCTCAAGCGATGAAGATGGTGAATGAAGTGTCATCATTGTGTCTGACATTTGTACTGTGTTCATTCTAGGTTATTTCACCGCTTTTAAGTGACAATGGCACTGTGCTTAGTCAAGTCTGCTGCCACCAATTCTAAGGAATTTGTCAACGGTTTGGTGAGGCACAAGGAACCATGGCAGATTGTGGCAATAACAGCTACGGGGACTTTGGTCGGTGTGTGGATGTTTGAATTTATTTTTGATGGGGATGGTGAGTATGCTATTGTTTTTATGGCTGATTTATCAACCTCATTATTTTTATGATGTTTTTCTGACCTCTCTGCCATTTTGTTCATCTCTCAGAAAGTGCTTGGGCCCGAATCAAAAAATCGGCTTTTCGTCTGTTGCGAAAGATTCCTGCAGTGAGGAACAAGATTGACTCTGAACTCCAAAAAATCCAGGTTTCATTTTCTGAAGATGCTAAGAAACGTTATCAGGGGAAAGAGTTCTTTTACGCTCTCCCCAGTAAGGGACAGGCGGACTCTGAAATCATGAAGCAAGTTCATGAATACCTGGAGTTGGGTAAGATATCAAATTAAAGCTCACATAAGTCAAACTTTCTCTGCTAAACCTTTATGTTTACATATTTTTCTTACCATTTCCTCAGGGGAATACCAATGGAAGGATGGTTACCTGTCTGGTTCTCTCTACATGTGGAATCAAAAATTGATTGAATTACTGACAGAAGTATGCAGTGCTGCATTTTACACTAACCCATTGCACCCAGATGTCTTCCCTGGGGTGAACAAGATGGAAGCTGAGGTTGTACGGATATCTTGCAACCTCTTCAGGGGAGGACCAGATTCTTGTGGCACTGTGAGTTCAGTTTGTCGTTTGGTTCTCAGTAACAATTTATTCGCATTGTATGCATGCCTTGTATGATTTATTCGAACAATCTTGTCTTATTTGCAGATGACCACAGGAGGTACAGAATCCATATTTATGGCTTGCAAGGCATACAGGGACTATGCTCGAGAGACCAAAGGCACTCGAAGGCCAGAGATTATTGTCCCTGTCACTGCGCATGCAGCATTTGACAAGGCTGCTCATTACCTTGGGATCAGAATCAAGCATATTCCAGTGAATGAAGACACCACAGTCAATATTGCAGCTATGAAGCGTGCAATTTCTAAAAATACCTGCATGGTAGTAATCATTTTGTCGCATGATAGCCCATTTTATAACAATTTTCTAAATAGGCATTTAAAATAAAAAATTCGTCTCTTACAGCTTGTTGGGTCAGCCCCCAATTTCCCATATGGCACCATTGATGACATCAAGAGCATTGGAGAACTTGGGCTCAAGTACAACATTCCAGTCCATGTTGATGCATGTCTTGGTGGATTCATCGCTGCATTCATGGATTATACGGAGTATCAAATGCCACCATTTGATTTCCGTGTGCCCGGTGTTACAAGTATCTCTGCTGATACTCACAAGTATGGATTTGCACCTAAGGGATCATCAGTTGTGTTGTACAGTGAGCAAAAGTACAGGAGGTTCCAGTACACTGTCACCACTGACTGGCCTGGTGGTGTGTATGGTTCTCCAACTGTCGGTGGCTCTCGGTGTGGAGGTTTGTATCATAATGTGATTTATTATTCTGGATCATACTTTTCATATGTAACCTTTCTTTCATAAAATTATATTTTATTATTATTTCTAGCTATTATTGCTACGTGCTGGGCTACATTTATGCATTTTGGTATGGAGGGCTATGTAGAAGCAACTCGTCAGATTGTGAAAGCTACCAAGCACATTGAAAATGGGTGATTGTTTATTTTTAAAGGAATGTTTTTCAATTTTCATGCTGTATTTTTACATATTTAAATTTGTTTGAATCTTCAGGCTGCGCAAGATTGATGGAATCTTTGTCTTCGGTCGTCCAGTGACATCTGTTGTAGCAGTAGGTTCAAAGGATTTTGATATCTATAGGCTTCAAGAGGCTATGCAATCAAAGGGCTGGAACCTTAACACCCTGCAGTTCCCCAAGGGGTAAGTATGCTGACAATTTTTTTCCTACACCTTTTTTCAGCCATACTCATTTATTTCATTTTTTATTTTGTTCAGAATTCACCTCTGTGTGACACACTTGCACACAGAAGAGGGTAGGGCAGATGCTTTCCTGAAGGATGTTAGAGAGGCTGTCGCTGTCATCATGAAAAATCCTCAAAAGGAAGTTGAAGGCAGTGTGAGTTTTTGGTCAGGTTGTGATTGGTCCTTATAAGCAAGTAGTCCAAGTCTCATTCATTTCTTATTTTCATTGCAGATGGCTATGTATGGTGCTTCAACAACTCTGCAAGACCGCTCCATTGTCACTGACTTCACAAGGTTTTGGATTGACGCTTTGTACTACACTCCTGATTCTGCATGATGTTTTTCAGTACAGTGTGAAGCAGTAAAAGGAACCAAGGGATCAAAAGTAATGTGTTAACTTATCTCACTCTATATTCCATGAGCCGCAGCAGTACTTAAGAAATGTAGTTTTGGAAGATGCAATTGGCTTAGACATCTCAAATTTTATTTTTGAAATTATTTTATCGAGCATACTTTTTAAAGAGATACATACTTAAGTATTAAACATTTGAATGCCTGCTAGCTTCCCTACAATCCTTTCATTCTAGCATCCGATCATTGCACTATTAGCAAGAGTTTAAAATAATGAGAAGTGGGGAAGGCCAGCTGTATTATTAGAGTTGGCAACTTTTTGCCTTCCAATATTTTTAGAAATGCACATTGATGTCCTTGTTTTTTAACGATTTTTGGCTAGTGAGTTTTTGTGTGTACCAAGAGTATTGCATTTTTATTCAGGATCACAGTAACTAAGTGTGATATTGTTACATTTATATGTCCTTTGCATTTATTCAGATTTTTTAAATGTTGCTATTTCATTGTAAATTATTTGTGAATATGGTTATATTTTTTTACTGTCTATGTGTTAATGAGGTGTGAAAAGATGTATATTCTCTGATTTTGTTTCAGACAGATACAAACTTTGCTAGTCAGATGACTGCCTTTGAAGTTGTAAACCAGTGCTATTTATAATTTTGTAGAAGTGCTCCTTTTTATCAATATATGCACTTTCCATGTTATGAATTATTTTTGGCTGATTACCTCCGGTTATATTTATAATGCATTGTGAATTGTGAAATCATTCTAGTTCCCCTCTCACAATCTTCCCCGACAATTAAAAAAGATATACTTATTTTCCATAAAGAGCCAAGTTATTCGCCCCAAAACCATTCAAGGTTATCACGTTCCGACGGTATCTGTTTGAGGTGTATTTCAAAACGAAGTTGATGTCCTGATGCTTAGGGCAGTGTGTGTCGATACCCCGCGGCTGCCGGCTGCCGCCGCCCGTGCCGCTACTCCACGGCACAGAGACGCTAAGCGCGCCAAAGTTTTACCGACGCGAGTTCGGGCACACTGACGGACTAAACACGTTTCCCGGTGCCCAACTTTATGGCCACATGCGATAAACGACCTGCCACAGCAGTAAATGCGATGGTACACTCGCAATTCGCTGTGCCCAGGTGACTTTCTCGGGCATCGCGAGGTTGGCACCGCCTCGGCGCCACCGACTGCAGCGCCACCTAGCACACGCCCTCGCCCAACACATGACATGACAGCGGCGCGGTAATGTGGCGGGTGCAGCAAGGGGCGTTTTCAAGACCGAGTAATACCGAGTCAACGCCTCCGCTGCGTTCTCGGCCGCGCCCCTGACGTCGGCGGGTTACATGCGTTGAGGCGACGCCCCCGGGTAGACGGTCGGCTCTGAGCTGTGCAGTGACCCCCGCTCGTTCCCGTGACCCCCATTCAACCCTAGAGTCCCGAACCGCATCGCACCGCATCGCGGTCAAGGTTGCCCCGTCCGTCCGTCCGTCCGTCCGTCTACCGCGCGGCGCGGCGAGCCAGGTTGGCCACCACCACAGCAGACGCTGCGTTATCGACCGCGCAGGCCGCGATCTGTCTCAACACGTCGTTTTTTTTCTGCCGACGGAAAACGTTTTCCTTCTGCTGGGTGTGTATATAGCGATAAGCATAACCGATTAATCGGACAGCGGCTAAGTGCTTCAGTCTGTCGTCGCGTGTGTCACCATCGAGACCCTCGAGAAAGGCTTATTCATTGCGCTACCCGTTCTCATACATTCTTACATCCATCGCGGGACAAGGGCTGGTCGTGGCTGACATCAGGTGACAGACGGTGTTCATGCCCTTGCGAAAGTGTGAAAGTGCGCGGACAGATACTTGGTAGGGTGCTTTCCGACGAGGTATTTCACAACTCGCGTGGGAGGTCTCGAAATTTCGGGCTGCTATGACTGCTTTCTTCTTTTATGCGCGCGTGACTTTAACGATCGCGTAGGGTTAGGATCCTCTGCTAACTTGTGGATAGGTCGTGGACTGGTGTTTTCGGAAAGTCGATTGACTTGTGAATTTTTCTAAAAGTACATTCTCTGTCAATCACGTACGGAGATTTTTCCTAATTTTGTCCTGTGAACCGAAGTTTGTGGGCCTCTTGGCCTGTGATCAAGTGAAGGCAACTGTCCAAGCTGTGCTAAAAATAGTGTCCTGAGACTACAGGTCATACAGGACATTTACTGTTTCTAGCAAAGACATTTAAGTGTCATGGTAGCCGACCACCATACATAGATCCTAGTCTCAAAAGTGGCTCTCCTCTTCCATGACCTAGTTTTGTCCAATCATTTATAGTGTAGTATTAAAACTGACAAACAAATTTTTCTTCTGTTTTTATAGGTTTTGTTGACGCTTGTAAATTCAACCTTGGCCTGAGAAACTGAACATATCAAGATGCATCGTGCACGCTCCGTAGCAACTAAGTTATCGCCCCTGTTGGGACCAGAACAGTTTGGATCGTGGCTTCTTCAAAGTAGCAAACCCGCCCGATCATTATCTATAACAACCAGCAGACATTACAATGCACCAGTCGCAACAGAACCTTTCCTCAATGGCAGTTCCTCTGCTTATGTTGAGGAAATGTACAATGCCTGGCTGGCTGATCCCAAGAGTGTCCATGTGGTAAGTATTTCAGCTCACAACTTAAAACAAATGTGCTCAATTTTCTACTTGAATTACCACTTATTCTGATTTCTGTACAGTCGTGGGACTCATTCTTCCGCAACAGTACTGGTGGTGCCGCTCCAGGCCAAGCCTACCAATCTCCTCCTTCCTTAGCTCCACCCGGTAAAAACCAAGTGCCTATATCTGCCATTGTGCCACAGTTAGGAGGATTAGGAGCATCAATGCCTGGTCAAGTCAATGAGAAGCTGATTGACGACCATCTCTCCGTTCAGGGCCTCATCAGATCTTATCAGGTAGGAAAATATTAACAAATGATTTTATCATTCTTTGCTAGGATTCCCGTTCAAGAATAATAATAATATGGACTATTTTGGTGGTAAAAATGAAGTAAACAGGACCATCAATGAATCAATATTGTCTTGCACCCTAGTGATGCATGCCTGAAAAGTTGTGTACTGAGTGATGATTCAAAAGTGTCAAAGATTAATTTTTGTAATTTTATGTAACTGTTGATTTTTTTACAGCTGTTCTTGTTTTTGAATATTTTGTTGTTTTGACTGTGTTCATGGTGATTTTTGTAACAGTGTGACATTATATTAGAAATGTGTGTCGTGCAAGCAAATCAAATGTTAGCTTTGTCATCACCACCCACTCAAACTGTCAAGAGCTTTGACTTTTCTCTCCTTAAAGAAAAATGTATCAAAATTTAAAAAAAGAATCTGTTATAGTAGACTCATTGAAATATCAGTAGAATTCAATGAAACAGTATTAGTTTTTTTTTTCTGTGAATTGTTTAGACTTCTCACACTTTTTTGCTTGAAGTTTAGTTTTAATGAATTTTTTGTTGCATACATTCCTATCCGAAGTAAACTGCTTAGATTACTTCTTATCATTTTTCAGCTTCATCAGTTTATATACTAATTTTACTTTCCTCTTCTACAAATTGCTATGCATGAGGTGCATGTTGTTGGGCAGGATCGAGTAAATAATATACATGGCAAGTGCAGTCTTTTATCAGCAAAGGGGACATTGATTTCACCAAGAAAAAATATGATAAGCCATAGCCATTTCTATTGAAATTTACGGGGAACTCAATCATTCAATTGTGCTAACAAATATTTAATCGAGTAATCGTGCATTTCCTGCTTCAATTGATGCAATAGCAATAAGAGTATGCATATCACATGACTTTAATTTATGCGATTTGCCAGGGCTTAGCATGTTGACAGTGTAAGTGTTTATTTGCTGAGCCTTGCCTTTGCTTTATTTGCCTATCGTCTCTAGGCTCGAGGTCACCTTGCGGCTGAGCTGGACCCGCTGGCCATCATGTATGGCGCCACCGATGAAACTTACACTGTCCGCAAGGGTGCTCCACCAGAAGTGGTGGTGCGCCAGCATATGCTGGGTAAGGCTTGGGATTGAGGAAGAATAGCATTGCCCAATAGCCGCTCTATCCCTGTCAACATCATATTTGTCACTTTCTCACAGCAATTTTAAAACCTTTGAATCATGATACGGATCACTCTATCTTCACATACATTCTTAACAAAATAGGACTACAGTTGGGGTAAAATCATGACAAAAAGCAAGTTGGTCTCACCTCTTGAAATGGTATGAAACTAAAGGCCTGCAGAATTACAGTATTATTAAAGGAAATTTTGGTTAACCGCATCTAAAGCATGAGATGCTGATAGAAAGAGATTAAATGGAATAAGCTCATTTTCTGCTTATTTTTGTGCTTTGGGGGGGCGAACGTGGTTTTGTGTGCAGTAGTTTCTTAGGCTACTACTTCTTTGTAAGTTTGTGACTGGGCTATGTAGTTAAATAAATTTGGGCATGGACAGTATGGTGGATGTTTTAGTTTTTATCTTTGTGTTATTCAAGTTACATTTGTTATCTTTCTCAGATTTCTCATAAACACTTGCTGAAAGGTATTTCACGACTTTGATTGATGCTGGGTGAAATTCCTCTGCATGAAGCTTGGTTTTCTTGTCAGGGATGCTTCTATCATGCATGAAAAAGACATGTTCCTTCAACTCTGGACTTCTCCTCTTTGCTTGCAAATGTTTAGCACTGATTCCCCTTCTTATATCACTTCAAATTAATTCTGCTTTACCCACTCAGCCTCTGGATTTTATCAGAGAAAAACTAGAACTGGAACTGAAAGTTAGCTGCCGAGCCATCTACCCTCTGTTCACTGTACTCTCTGCTGCAAGGGTCAGGACTCCCATGTTGACCCAATTTTATCACAATCCCAAAACCATTTTCAGTCAATGTGCTAAAAACCATTCAATTGTGATTTTTCCTGTTCTTCTCAGTGTTTTTGCTCACATCAATGAAGGATGATCTTTCCAGGTACAAATCATAGCTGACATCATGTGTGATAAATCTGAAGAATGGGGCTCACAATTATGTTGCTTCAGTCCAAACCCCTCTCATTTCTTGTAAAAATCTTTTTGCCAAGCTAATTACTAAGTCCTGTGTGGTGCTAATCAAATTCTAGGTGCTTGCTCTTCTTTGCTTATTGGTACTGAATTTATTCTTCTTTCTGTCAAACTTTCAAACTTTTTCAGAGCCTTCTATAATTTTAATGCTTCCAGCAACTATACTACATGTTCAATTTTCAGGTGCCTTCCTCTGTATCGTTTTGTATTTACAGACTCAGAGAGTGAACATTGCCAACCTTTTTCATACAGCAGGCTATTTAGAACATCTGTTCAGACAGTGCATATTCATAAGTCGTTATAGATTAAAAATCTAAATTAGATGAAGTGGTGTTACTTTTGAGTAGGCAAATTATTGTTGGTGATGGTGTGACAATTGTCTCCGCACTGCATTCGCAGATCCGAGGACACCATATTGCGCAGCTGGACCCGTTAGAGATCAACAGCGCAGATCTGGATGACTCTCAGCTCCCAGAGCTGCTCTATAATAGCTATAACTTTGGTAAGGACATTGACATTTGATACTTCTCTTAAATTTTTGTTTCAGTCGTTATTTAATATTATTTTTGTTTGTTTGGATGGAGGTTCTGTAGGCAGCTTCTTTTGCCTGCTCTATTATTCTTATCTATTATTAGAGTATAATTATTTTCTTTCAAAGCCAAGTCAAGAACAGAACCCTATAACTCACTTGACAAATCAAAATTAGTATTCCTCCGTTGGAATTCGGCTTAAAATTTATTAGTTACAATACATAGGCTACTCTATTTTTTGGCCCAAGGTTAGTTTATATGAAAATCACTTATGACAAACACCATCATCCATCTGAAGTCTGACCAGCAGATCACCATTTTCTGGCCTAATCTTTGTGCTGAATCTGTGTTTGAGGAGCCCTTTCATGTTTGTTCATGTTCATGGTTTACTATACTTTGTGTTCGGGTGAACATTATTATGATGCTTTCTGACCCAATGTGCCCTTATCTCCCCTGCCCTTGTTCTACAAGTGAAAGGAAATGCCATTGACATTCTTTTGCAAGCATTACTCAACCCCATTTCACATGGGCTCCCTCAGCAAGTTCTTCATACTTGGTCTTGGCAACTGGAAGGTTTTACTTTGTGTGCTAGGTTACTACTTAATTGTGTGCTTGTGCTTCTTCTGTGTGTTTTTATTAATTGGAATTTGATTTTCTTGTAATTTGCATATTGCCTTTCTGCTTAATAAAAGAGCAGCATTGGTAATCCAAACCTTGAAATTTATACAACACTATGTTTAATTCTAAATTCCTTGCAAGCTCTTGCTGGTAGTTCCAAGCAAACTGCTAGTAGTTCCGATGATTGTAGCTATGTAGTTAGTTTCTTATTTGTGCAGTAAAACTTCTGGCCTGGTTGGTTGGTTGTGGGAGTCCAATTTTGATTAGACAGTTTTATAAACTAATTTGATTTGCTTTCCTGTTAACATTTTTTCTGGTGTTGGATTAATATAAGTTGTTTTGCCTTGGTGACGGCATCCTAGTATTGACTTGAATCTTCATTAACATGCTTCTCAGACGGCCTTCAATTATAGTCTGTCCTTAACCAAACACTTAAAGATACCACTGCATATGTGATTTCTAAGAGCTGTCCATGCACAGTAGTATAAGTAGTGGGAAAAGTATGCAGCTCTCACATGTCCATAATCATTTTCTGTCTATCTACGTTAGTTGATACTGACTGGAAATCTACAAATATATCTTTGTTTCATCCTTTCTCTTGTGACCAACTTGACTTGCAGCAGTCCTACTTAATGTTAGTAAAATTATGGGATATCTTAGTTGGGAGTGGTGGTTGGGTCAGTCACAGAGTTTAATTCAAAGCCCTTGTCAGGTATTTATTTCTAGTATATCATTATTAAATTTATCGTAAGAGGTTTCTATATTTTGAGACTTATTTTTCATTTATTTATTATCAAATCTTAATCTAATAGTTGTGGAAAATATTTCATGGTTTTAACAAAAGACATTTTTTATCTCTTTCAAATTGCAGAGGAGTCAGATATGGACAGAGTATTCAAGCTACCTTCCACAACCTTCATTGGTGGCAAAGAGAAGTCCCTGACCTTGCGTGAAATTCTTCGCCGACTGGAGATGTCCTACTGTCGGCACATTGGTGTGGAGTTCATGTTTATCAACTCATTAGAACAATGCAATTGGATTCGTCAAAGGCTAGAAACCCCTGGAATCATGGATATCGACAACGCTCAAAAGCGCCTTATCTTGGCCCGTCTTACTCGAGCAACAATGTGTGTATTGCTATTTCTTTTTATTTCTCTTTCCACGATTTTCGTGATAGTTTTTCTCTTAATGTTCTCATGTTTTTATGTTAATAGGTTTGAAGCTTTCCTGGCTCGTAAGTGGACCAGTGAAAAACGATTTGGTCTGGAAGGATGTGAAATCCTAATTCCTGCCATGAAACAAGTCATTGACAGGTCAACTGAGCTGGGAGTTGAATCAATTGTTATGGGTATGCCCCACAGAGGCCGTCTGAATGTGTTGGCCAATGTGTGTCGTAAGCCTTTGCACCAACTCTTTACTCAATTTGCTGGTCTTGAAGCAGAGGATGATGTAAGTATTTTTTTTCTTTTTCAGTAGCTCTTCCAAACCATCTATCTTTAACTCTTTTAATGAAATTTTATTATCTTATTCTGTAGGGTTCTGGAGACGTGAAATACCACTTGGGTACTTACATTGAGCGTCTTAACCGAGTTACCAACAAGAACATCCGTCTTGCTGTTGTGGCAAACCCATCTCATCTGGAGGCTGCAGACCCAATAGTGCAGGGCAAAACCCGTGCAGAGCAGTTCTACCGTGGCGATAATGAGGGCAAAAAGGTACTGTTTTTCTATTTGGGGTGTCTTCCAAGATTTCTCCTGTTATGCCGCATATTGCTTGTTCAGGCATTTTATTTGTCTGTTTTCTAATTATCTGTTCCAGGTCATGTCCATCTTGTTGCACGGTGATGCTGCATTCTGTGGCCAAGGAGTTGTATTTGAGACCTTCCACTTGTCAGACCTACCAGACTACACTACTCATGGAACTATTCATATTGTTGTCAACAACCAGATTGGTTTTACAACTGATCCTCGCCACTCTCGGTCATCACCTTATTGCACAGGTTCGTTGGTCTTAATTTTTTGCAGCTCAATTGTTTTGCTTTTTTAGAGAAATTATCTACATTAAAAATGAACTTCTTTTATTTTCAGATGTTGCTCGTGTTGTGAATGCTCCAATTTTCCATGTGAATGCTGATGATCCAGAGGCTGTGATGCATGTATGCAACCTTGCTGCTGAATGGAGAAACACCTTCCATAAGGATGTTGTCATTGATATTGTTAGTAATCGCATTTAAGTGTTTGTGGTGTACGTTTGGACTCTATTGTCACTATTCCTCTAACGTTGCTCTTTCCTCCCAGGTTTCATACCGTCGCAATGGACACAACGAGGTGGATGAACCCATGTTTACTCAGCCTCTTATGTACCGTAAAATCCGAAACACAAAACCAGCTCTTGACAAGTATGCCGAAAAACTGATTGAAGAAGGTGTGGTAACCCCTGAGGAAGTTAAAGTAAGGCTTAATTTGGGTTGTTTCTTGTTTGACCTGGCATGATTCCCCTCTGCTCTATTTAACTTTGAGTTGTGCTCCTCAGGATGTCAAGGACAAATATGAGAAGATTTGTGAGGATGCGCATGCTGCTGCCCGTAAGGAGACTCACATCAAGTACAAGGACTGGCTCGATTCCCCATGGTCTGGTTTCTTTGAGGGCAAAGACCCTCTTAAAATGTCCACTACTGGCATCAAGGAGGACACACTTGTGCACATTGGCAAGCGATTCTCCTCTCCTCCACCCAACGCAGCAGGGTTCATTATCCATAAGGGTGTGTGTACCTTCACTGCAGTGAAGGCCAATTGACCAATGTATATGATACTGCAACTGCTAGCCAAAAGTTGTCTTTAAATCGGTTATCCCTTCCAGGTATTGAGCGCATCTTGAAAGCTCGCATGGAAATGGTTGAGAACCGCACAGTTGATTGGGCACTTGGTGAAGCAATGGCTTTTGGTTCTCTGCTGAAGGAGGGTATTCATGTTCGTCTCAGTGGACAGGATGTGGAGCGTGGAACTTTCTCTCACAGACATCATGTCCTTCACCATCAAACTGTAGACAAAGCAACATACCGCCCACTTTGCTCCCTGTACCCTGATCAGGCCCCTTACACTGTATGTAACAGTTCCCTCTCTGAATATGGTGTTCTTGGTAAGCTTTCAATCCTGATTGGTTTGATTTCTGTCTCTGGCTTATCTTTGAAATGAAATAATATTTTCTCTTCTCATTATTTGTGGTCCAGGATTTGAACTTGGATTTTCAATGACCAATCCCAATGCACTGGTTATTTGGGAGGCTCAGTTTGGAGATTTTAACAACACTGCTCAGTGCATCATTGATCAGTTCATCTCGTCTGGTCAAGCTAAGTGGGTTCGACAGTCGGGCTTGGTCATGCTCCTACCCCATGGTATGGAGGGAATGGGACCTGAACACTCCAGTGCTAGGTTGGAGCGCTTCTTGCAAATGTCTGCTGATGACCCCGACTACTTCCCTCCTGAAAGTGAAGAGTTTGCAGTCCGTCAGCTTCATGATATCAACTGGATTGTAAGTACTGTAGTGTTTTTGTCTTGTCTGGTAATAGCACATTGTTTTGGATTCTCTAGTGCAATAATTCCTGTTTTGTTTTTTCTTCAATCAGGTAGCCAATTGCTCCACTCCTGGCAATTTGTTCCACATTCTACGAAGACAAATTGCTTTACCTTTCCGTAAGCCACTGATTTTGATGACTCCCAAGTCTCTGTTGCGTCATCCTGAAGCAAGGTCCAGCTTCGATGTTATGACTGAAGGCACTGAGTTCCAGAGGTTAGTCATTAATCTATCACTCTAAATTGCTATGCTTGGTTGTTATTATTCTTATTAAAATTTGATCTTAAATAGGATTATTCCTGATGAGGGCCCAGCCGGTCAGAACCCATCAGGAGTGAAGAAGGTGTTGTTCTGCTCTGGAAAGGTGTACTATGATATCAAGAAAGCTCGTGCTGATAAGGGATTGGATGATAAAATTGCTTTGGTCCGAGTTGAACAGGTAGCCTTTTCTTTTGACTCTGTTCTGTATTTATTTGGATTTCCTAGAAAAGAGCTAAGCTCAATCATTTTTTATTTGTTTTCTGTTACATCAGATTTCACCTTTCCCGTACGATTTGATCAAGAAGGAGTGTGCCAAATACCCCGATGCACAGCTGGTCTGGGCTCAGGAAGAGCACAAGAACCAAGGAGCCTGGTTCTATGTCCAAAACAGGTTCAACACAACATTGAATGGAGGACGCCCTGTGACGTAAGTTATCATAACCATCTCTCTTATTTTGCATATTCCTAGTGTCCTTCTTTAAAAAAAAAAAAAAACCTGTGTACTGTACAATGCATGTGAGTTTTTGGCATTGTCTTTGCTTTTTGTTTCACTTGGGTTTCATTCACTCTTTTGACCATCCTTTCTTCCTTAACTTTATATTTTGCATCTACTGCAAATTCCCTGTTGTGTGTGTTGAATTTCCCATGTTTTTGTTTTTGAGTATAAATGGTTGTTTCTGGGTGGGGAAAATGTTTCGTGTTGAATGGGCTCCAGTATCACTTGTTATCATTAATGAGGGGATAATAATAATAACCCTGTGAGTATCTTAATTGCATGTTGTGCCTTGTGGTGTGGTGTGAGAGGTTGTCTCTGTTTCAGCGGACTAAGTGGACCTGTCGAGGTCTTTTGTGATGGTGCTAAGGAACAAGGGGGGTTGTTAAAGCGCCTTTTTGGCTCTGATGTACGTCAGGAGAATGATACTTCATTTGAGTCTGCGTCTCAGGCTGGACCTCAGTCTGAGACCCAGACGCAGACTTCAAGTCTGCAAACCAATATCCGAACCATTAGGTGAGGAGAGAGGGTCACTATGGAGTGAACAATATGCTTTCATAAAATATTACTGTTTGTGTATAGCTCAGCGGTTCCCAACCTTTTTCGGTTCGCGACCCCAAATTTGTAGCCAAAACTTTCCGCGACCCCCAGGAAAAATTTCGCGACCCCACGCGACCCCTCCTTTAGCATGCCTTTGTTACGGAGTGCGATTATCTGCCTTAGTTTGGGAGCAGTATTGCCGCAAAGTTGATCAAAACGGTCACAAATGCCTGAAAAATCGTGTTTTGGGCCGACTTTAAGCATCCACTGCGTCTGATCCGAGGCGGTAAATCGTCCTCCGTCAACGGGCAATTGGTCTTTAGACCTTCCTTTAGCATGCCTTTGTTACGGAGTGCGATTATCTGCCTTAGTTTGGGAGCAGTTTTGCCACAAAGTTGATCAAAACACGATTTTTCAGACATTTGTGACCGTTTTGATCAACTTTGCGGCAAAACTGCTCCCAAACTAAGGCAGATAATCGCACTCCGTAACAAAGGCATGCTAAAGGAAGGCCTAAAGACCAATTGCCCGTTGAGGGATGACGATTTACCGCCTCGGATCAGACGCAGTGGATGCTTAAAGTCGGCCCAAAACACGATTTTTGACAGACATTTGTGACTGTTTAGACCAACTTTGCGGCAGTACTGCTTCCAAACTGAGTCAGATAATTGCACTCCGTAACAAAGGCATGCAAAAGGAAGGTCCAAAGACCAATTGCCCGTTGAGGGAGGGCCATTTACCGCCTCGGATCAGAAGCACTGGATGCTTAAAGTCGACCCAAAACACGATCTTTTACACACATTTGTGACCGTTTTGATCAACTTTGCGGCATTTAAGCAGCCAGTGCTCGGCGTGTGGGCCAGCCGGGAAACCACCGCGACCCCAGGCGACCCCAGCCACCTCGCCGCGACCCCTCGAAATTTTTTCGCGACCCCATTTGGGGTCGCGACCCCAAGGTTGAAAACCGCTGGTATAGCTGCCAGAGCTTCATTTGGTAGTGGGTAGTCCACATATTCACTGGCATAATTTTTACTGTAAATGTCATTTCTTTGACCTGATTTTTATGTTTCCTGTTTTGTTGGCATACAAACTTAAACTGTACCACTATTTTTTTTAAAGAAAAGTATACGGTCATTTATATTTGTGAAAGTTGAATTGTGCTTTAGATTTATATTTGAATTGAGAATTTGTGGTCATTAATGGCAGCTTTCCAATGTTGAATTAATTCATGAATGTGTTTGTTTCTGTTACAAATTTATTGATTTCCACAGACTGTGTGTAGCGTTTCTTCAGTCTGAAGTTTTCAATAATTTCAATGTTGATTATCTGTTGAAAGTTTGTAGAAGGTCTCATTCGACCATGAGTTTTGGCTGTAGCCGGTAGAAAGTGGAAAAATAACGGCCACTTAGAATGCAGTGGTGCCCTCAGGCCTCCTACACTGTCGATGGCTCAGTCAGATTCGCTATCGGCAGACCTTAAGTCTGGTATTGTTCTGTTCGCATGAACTTGTTCTTGGTGCTTTGGGTTTGGGCATTGAACTGTTATGGGCTTACTTGTGTGATTCCTCCTGATTCCACTTTTACAAAGTTTAGTTCTTAATTTATTATTTTCTCTCATTCACTTGGCTTTTTGGTGGATGGGCTTACTAACACATTAATTGCCCTGTTTTAGCTCTAATGTACTTAACATGCATGACTAATCATCATCAATGTTACCGAGTGCCTGTGAATTCTGCTGAATCATCATAGTATTGTGTTCAAAATGTATCAATGGTATGCTTTCTGTTGCAGCTACTGTGGACGTCCCACTGCGGCCTCACCAGCCACGGGTAGCAAGGCTCAGCATTTGAAGGAACTGAATGCTCTCCTGGAAGATGCTACAAGTGTTTAAATGTCTTAACTCTCTAGATTAGATCAGCTCAAGTAACATTTAGCTTACAATCTTTATTTTACCTTGTGCCTGCTTCATAATTCAGAATTTATTAGTTTACAAAGTACCTTCTAATTGTAGATGCAAAATTTTCTCTGTAAAACATAAATTTTAGTTTATTTATCTTTATACAGGCACTTGGTTTGTTTCAGAGGAGTTATTATCTTGTATTGTGTCAGCTGGCCTGGCTATTGGTTTATTTGGCAGAGGCTCTGTAACACAGAAAAGGGGTCTGTATGCTGATTTAGTGAAATTGTTGAGTTCCTATGACTGTTAACTCTGTGTTACATTGTGGTTAGTCTTCTGTAAGGTAAACTTTTGTTTGCTTTTATTTGTTTTTAAAAGAGTCTTGAAAGTCCTGTCCAACAATTTCAGGAGGTACTAAGACTCGAGGTTTGTGCTGTTAATTTATTTAAGTATTGTTATTTTTCTTTAATGTTAGTTTTACGATAATGCACAAGTCCTCTTTTTATGCACCATAAAGTGACTCTGGTGTTTTCCCCTCTTTGTTGTGAGCCAGAGTTGCTGTTAATCGTAAATCAGGACTCCTAGTAATGGTCCATGAGACTGAACTTGCATACATAAGATGTATTTTGTAGTCCGCACTCTAATTTCGGGCTTGGCATTGTGCGACTAAAATTGTATTCACCATCATTTGTTGTGACGAGTGTTGCAAGTGGACTGATTTTTCATCAAATGTGGAGGAAATTTCCTTTACTTGTCTGTATAACAGGCATGAACAAAACTGTTGTATACTCATTTCTGTGGGAGAAAGAAATATTTGTATCTTGCTGAACGGAGGAAAGTGGTAAATCAATCTACTTAAGATATTGTTTCTGAAATTCCAGAGGCTGCTTGCTATCACAACTTAGAAGACAAATCTTTTGCCAGCTGTATTATAAAATGGCATAATGTCTAGCTGTAACTATACTGTATTCTAAGCACTTTATTGTAGGCCGCATCCCATTCATACAGGATTTGTTTCAGTTGCTCGTTTAAAAGAATATGGTGCATGGGTAAGACCTGTACATGGAGGATAATCCGTGCTTGTTAATGTTATTTATTTTTTTGTCAGTGTGTGCTTGGATGTGAGATGACATGACCAATGTCCTTCTGTGTACAGTAATGCTACCTGAAATGAATGTATGTGATTTTTAAAGTTTTAAGTCTGTAAAATAAAATCATGTTGTTTCAATGAAAATTTTTTTTGTCCTTCATACCCTTTTACCAAACACCATCATATTAAAAGTTCAAACTCATGAAAACTTAAGAAGTTGACCGCGAATGTGGACGTGGACAAAACAAGTATTTCGTTTGAGCAAAAATATCAAGAGGATTCCACGAAATTTGAGAATTGTATTTCTCCTGCGGTTGACCGGGCCTCCAGCGCACAGTTCAGCGGAGGTCGTGTGGCGACGCGGTGGCGACGCGGTGGCACTTCCCGGTCAGTGACTCGACTCGGGCTTACTCGGGGCGGGACGGGCCGGGCCGGGCCCCCAGCCCCTCCGCGGCCCCCGCTGCCCCGCGGGCCTCGCCATGCCATGAGGTGTGCCCCTCCCCCCTCCCCTGCGCCACGCCACTCCGCGCTCGCCACGAAGTAGACGACGAAGGCGGACCGTCTCTTCGGTTCAACCGGACACCACCGGGCCGCCGGAACCCCGTCGTGGAGCGGAGGAGCAGGAGGAGGAGGTGGTGGTGGCGGCGGCGGAGGCTTCGGCCGGGCTGGGCTTGGAGCTGGAGTCGTCGACGTCGAGTTGCTTGAGTTGTCGGCTAGTCCTACGCCCGTACGGTTTCGTTGCACCGAGCCTCAGAGCCCCGCAGCGTCCAGCGTCGTCGGGCTCCGCGGGGAACGCGTCCGCCAGCCTCTGTCGCCGTCAGCCCGCCAGCTAGGGCAGCTTGATCCTTGCCACGCCGCGTCCCGCGTCGCGCCGCGCCGGAGCAGCGCCGGGGAAGTGACAGTGACTCCAACGAACGCGAGGGATGGGTTGCTGATCGATCGCTTCGGTTTAGGGTTTCGGGTTTCGGGTGCGCGGCTTTGCAAGTTCGCACGGAGGTTGTGCGGTCGAGTGCAGTGGACGCCACGCGACCTGCGAGCAACATGCGCTGGATGTCCTGCTTCGAGCACCGCCACCACCTGCACACGGTAAGTGGAGTGTGGAGTGGAGTCTGCAAGTCAGCCACTTTATCTCAGGCTCTGGGGGTTTCGGCTTCACAGATGCGATAGATTAAATTCGAACACCAATTCTTGATTTTTATTTGAAAATAAATTGCGAAACGGAAGTCTGAAAGTTGAGATTTGGCTGGGCAATTGGATGATGTAGTGACAGGCGATCGGTGTTTGACCTAACGCAGGCTAATTAGCATGCAAATCTAGATAGAATGGATTCAAATACCAAACGCACACCTTTTTTTAAAAACAAATATTATTTGTTTTTTTGCGGCCAACTTGGGCTTTTCTTCCGGCTCCCAGTCGTGCGTTGAAGTCTCCTGGAAAAATGCTGACTCGGGTCGGGGAGGAGGGCTCTGTTAGAAATGGGTGGTATGGGATTGCCGGTTTCGACGTCTGGTCGGATATTTCTCACCGGGTCGGGTACAGCTCGGTGCTTTTCCGGCGGGGCTGCTGCACTCGCCGTCTGCTATGTAATTGTCGCATCTGGGGCCGTGCTGGCTGCGTCGTGACGGAAGCAGGGAATTCCAGGATTCCTGCGCTGCCGCGCCAAAACTCTTCAGCTTCTCATACCGATGGGCACTTTATCTTCCTAAACGCCTCTCCAGGAACGGCGTGGCGCATCATGGTGCATTGCCCGGCGCGGCGGCGAGCCGACAGAGACGGCATGCACAGGGCTGCAGTGCCTGCACTGCCTGCACTGCCTGCCAGCGCGGCCAGGACTCAGGAGGACGGGGCAAAACCGATGGGCGTGTTTGGCGCCGGCGTCTTGCGCGGGGCGGGGCGGGGCGGGGCCTGCTCCGAGGACAATGACTGCCACGAATGAATGACGGTATGACGGCACAGCAGGACGCCCCTCCCCCTCGCCTCCGCTCCCCTGTGACGGTCAGGAGAGTGGCGACGACGCCCGGGGCCCAATCTGGAGAGGATGGATAGGGGCATCAGGGAGGACTGGAGGAGATAATGGCCTTGCAACAAAAAGAGCAGGGCAGAGTCAGGCGGTCCGAGTCAGGCAGCCTGAGGCAGCCAGGCTCGGCCACTTTTTGGCGTGCACTTTTGTTGGCGCGGTAATGAAGAGCGGGGGCGTGGCGGAGGGTGGGGGCTCGTTTTCGAGTCCGTTTTCGAGTCCGTTTCCACCAGTGCAGGCGCAGCAGGCGCCCCGCCCACTCCGCGCCCTCCGTCATTGCACTCGAAGATGCCGGTCTGCGGACGCATCCTCGCTTCTAGTGCAATACTCTAGATTGAATCCGACCCCCCGATGAGCTCGAACCGTAGAGCGGACGAACAGACAGACAGACAGACAGGCGGCCGGGCGATCGGAACCGTTGTCGGGCTGTGGGGCTCATACCCACTGACCTAATGGGAGTCGAGTCGACCGGAGGGAAGTCACGATCAATACAATCCACACGAGACAAAAGGGGATTGTTATCTCTATGCCCCCTTTCCTCCTTCTCGGACTTTCGGGGAGGAGAGAAAACTTACTGCCATCAAATTTACAATGCATTCTCTACGTACTTCGCCTGACCGGACACACTGTACGGTGGTGGAACTTGGTAGCGCAAAACGAGATGACGGCGTTATTGGCGAGTTGTGTTCGCAGGGTCCACAACTTGACAGACAGGTCACGTGCCCTGCGTTTGATGCCTGCTCCATATCTGGGTCGATCTCTGAGGGCCCAAGGGACCGAAGCCGAAGCAGGGTGGGGACGGCCTTTTATTGTCGTCTGGCCCGCGTGCCGCGTGCCCGCCGCACTGTGCCCGTTACATAGAAATGACTCACTCGGGCTGAGGCTGCGCTGGGCTGCGCCCTTTCGGGGACCCGATCTAACCAACAGGTTTGCTTTGCCTTGCCGCCTGCCGCCCTGCCAAATGGCCAAAGCCAAATCCCACTGCATTGTGTGGGGGATCCGGACGACCAGGAACGGCGGGCCGGGACGCGCCCACGCTGTGCTCCCCTGACCCAGAACCCGGAACGCATCCGAGTAGTGGTGTGCGTGTGAGTGGGTTCGAATACCGGCAGAGGCGGTTCTCGGTTTCTGTTTTTCGGAGTGTGCGCGCTGAACAGCATGCACTTGTTGGCGTGCGGCGCGGCGGCGCGGCTTCGCGAAGCGTGCTTCTTGCCGGCTCCTTGCCGGCGGCGTGCCGCTCGGGTCAGTGGCCTTCCCGGCGGCGCGCCTCCGCCCCCGGAGCCTGGCACCCCGTGTCAAGGTCAGTGGCTGTAGACCGATTTCCGCGCAGTCTCGACGCCATCCCTCTCGCCCCGTGAGTGCGAGGGAGACAGGGCGACGAGAGCATTGTTCGGAGGCTGGCTGCAGCGCCAAGGGGCATCCCGGGCGTCCCTCGATGGCGCCGGTCGTCGCGTCGCGTCGCGCGCCACGCAGGACATGGACAAGACCGTCTGAGTCGGGCTCAGCCCGTGGCGCGGCGGCGTGGCGGCCGAGGTGGCGGCCGAGGTGGCGGCCGAGGTGGCGGCGCCGCTGTCTCTCTCGCACCCCTGCGGACGCCCCATGAGTGCGAGAGAGACAGTGACGACAGCGTTCGGACTCGGCCTGCAGAGGCCAGGGAGGGCGCGGCCGGCGCGGCCGGGATAGGCCGGATGATTCCAGCCATGGCGCACCGTGGCGCACCATGGCACCAGCGCCACGCCACGCCACGGAGCGAGGCGCGAGGCGAGCGAGGCGTCGCTCTTCTCATGTTTGGTGTTGTGTTATGATATACCGTTATACGCCGTTGCGGCGTGGCGGCGTGGCGGCGCGTGGCGGGGACGTCGGCCGGCGGCAGCCTTAGCGCGGCGCGCGGCGGTCGAAGGCGGAACGAAGTGAGCCGGACGATGAACATCAGCCGGCGGCTCCTTTCGCCAACCTCGCCAACCCACTGTCTGCCCCGCTGCCGCGCGTCGCGAGTTCGGACACCGGGCGCTGCTTCATTCTCGCGGCACCCCGTCGACACGTTTCCGCGGCGGCGGGCGGCGGGCGGCGGGCGGCGGACCTAGCTGGCGCTTCTCCGCATGATGGTTGCGTCTCTGTCGCCCTCAAGGGGCACTCCGTAGGGGTGCGAGAGAGTCAGAGCGACGAAACGATCCTTCAGTCAGTCAGTCGGCTGCCGAGATGGCGGTCAAAAGCGTGCAGAGATGATGCGCGGAAGATGGGAGTCGTGGTGGACGGCTGGACGACGGCCTGGACGTGTCGAAGCAAGGCAGCGGGGCCATGACGCGCCGCGGTCTGCTGGCGGATCCCGAGCGGCAGGTCTCTTTCTCTCTCTCGCACTCGAGGGTCGCTAGGCGTCCCTCCCTCCGGGATGGACGGATGGACGGCCGTCGAACGGTATGCCCGGCGGTAATGACACGAGTGGATCATGTTGGCGGCCGTGTCGGCCGGGCCGTGTCACAGCGCAGCGCTGTTATGCTGTGCGCCTCGCTGCACCGCCAGGCCTCGTGCTGTCGCTGTCTCTCTCGCACTCGAGGGGCGTCCCGTCGAGTCCCGTCGAGGTGCGAGAGAGACAGCGACGAAGGGCTGGCTGCAGAGCCAGCTGCACTGCGGGCCGGCTGCAGCTGCTACGTGCAGGCCGGCCGCGGCATGGCTGCAAGCTGCACTGCCCTCCTGCAGCCCCACAGCGTGACGTGGCGCGGCAGGGCGGGGCGGGGCGGGGCGTGACGGTAACGGGATGAACATTATGTGGACGGTCCTCCGCGGGGCGATCTTAATGGACGGCAAAAAGATGAAACACAGAAAGAGCCCCTCGGTGAGCAGTTGTTGGCGACGCCGGCGACGCCGGCGACGCGCCGCGACGCGCCGCGACGCGCGCCTCAGACGAGCAGGTAACTGAACTAAAAAGAGATTCGGTCACGACATGACGCCGCCGCCGGCTCCTCCAGATTCCGGGCCCGTTGAGTGCTTCATCGTTTCTGTCTCTCTCCAACACGAACCTCTACGCCCAGAGCCTGAGCGAGACAGAGCGACGAATGCGCTGTTCGGTACCGGCCCGCAGGGCGTTGCAGTATTTTTGCTTGACATCAGCAAGGACACCCATCCAAACTTATCGACAAAGTTGGACTTGCTTTCCTAACTCTGTTGTGACTCCTCCTCCCGCTTACAAAGCGCCTTACCCGCATCACGTTACTTAGTCGAGGCTTGCCGGCCGCCGCGAGGCGTAATCCGGACTGTTTTCATTTTTACCGCAGGATCAAGCGCAGATCAGTGGGTCTGACTGGCCTGACCGCAGGCTGCAGGCCGGCCCGTCTCGCCTCGGTAGCTCCCCCTCCCCTCCCCTCCCCCTCCAGGCCCCCGTGCGGTTCCGACCATAAGCCCCTCAATGAAATGGCTGGCCGCGGAGCGCGGAGCCCTGGCACCGCACCGTACCGCACCGTACCGCTCGGACTTGAACTTGACTCTGAATCCCAGGAAGTACACTGGAAACGCTACCTCTGGCAACAAAAGGCCGCTCTCCCGCTTTTGTTCCTGCTCCCTGCGGCTATCGCTGCCTGCCTGCAGGATGATTCGTCGCTGTCTCTCTCGCAGCCTTACGGGACGCCCCTTGAGTGCGAGAGAGACAGAGCGACGGGATCCGCGGCGGCGGTCCGGAATCAGGGAATCGGGGCGCCGGCACCTGCTGCACCTGCCACCGCGCATACGTGCTGGCCTGCCAACCTCCCTTGCGGTGCCACAACGGTTGGCACGCTTGGGCCTTGACCTCGCGGCGACACGACGACGCGACGCGACCCATCGGGTTGGCACGACTGTGCAGTTTGGCGCCGCCCTCGGCCCCTCCGCTCTGCTCCGCCCTCCATGCGCACGCAGTCAAACGCAGTGGCACGCAGCGAGATGAGCGGGACGCCACCATGATGGCGCAGAACCCTTGGGTGATCGTTTGGCGGAGTAACAGGACAACAACAGGACGGCGATGATGGGGGTAAAGGAGGACGGCAGGGTGGAGTGGAGTAGTAGCACAGGCTTATAGCCATCCCGCGCCTTACAGGAGAAATGGCACAGGCCGTAAAAGTCGAGACGCTTCTCCTACAAACAAAAACTGAGATTATTGAATTTATTGGCTTCATTGAGATAGTAGTGCATCGCATATCACCGCTTCCCCGTCTGAGCCGATAACGCCTTGACGCTGATAACACAGGCAGCGCCGTAGACGAGGCCAAAGCCAAACAAGGGCAGTGACAAGGACAAGGCTTGGGCAAGGCCAACTGACAAGGCGCAGACGGCAGCACTTTCGCTCCAAGGCCTCGGCGCCCGTCACCACGGACGTCGGCAACCCTTGGCACAGCGAGGCGAGCACGGCGGCGCTACAGAGGCGCTGGGACAGGCCGACAGGGATGCTCTGCGCCCCCAGGACCACGCCGAGTTCGTGAACATCGCGAGCCTTGACAGTGCACACGCCTCACCTTGCCTGCGCGGCGCTGCGCGGTGTCAAAGCGCCGCCGACTCGTCGGCAAACCGGTTGACTCCTCCGAACCGTCGTGCTCGTCCACCTCGTCCGCGGCAACGGCAAGCCCGCGAGCCGCAGGCCGCAGACCGCACAGTGTTTTTGTCGCTCAGTGTCTCCGTCGCACTCGAGGGATGCTACAGAGAAAGAGAGAGGCACTGCTGGTAGGCCACCACCACGAGCGTCCGATGTGGGTGACGGAAGGCCGACAACGCCCCCCGGGTGCGTGGGTGTACTGCCCCTCCGCGATCAGCTGGGCTCGCACTGGAGAGCAAAGGCGGAGGGGAAAGAGGGAAGGGGGCGGGGGAAGCAGGTCGCCATAGCAGTCGCCTTGTTGCCGTTATGTGCGCACACACACACACGGATTCTTTGCCCCTTTCGTGGCACGCGTGTGTGTGCGTTCGTGTAAGTGTGTGCGTGTGTGTGCGGTATGACTGGCCCACTGCCATCCCATATGTATGCCGTCCACACACACACACGCACGCTCGCATCCTGCATCCGCACAGTGATAGTATGCGGGCGAGGTGAGTAAAGGTGGGTGTGTCTTGCCGGAGAGAGACGGCGAGGCGAGCGACCGGTCCTCTCGGCAGCAGGTCACTGCAGTCACTGCGTGCGTGACGGTTCAGCGCCGCGGCGGGTGGCGGCTTGGAGGACTTGGAGGACCACGCGACACCCCTCGGACACGCGGCGCCAGGACACGCGGCGGGTGGCGGCTTGGAGGACTTGGAGGACCACGCGACACCCCTCGGACACGCGGCGCCTGGACACGCGGCGGGCGGCGGGTGGCGCGGGGGGTCCTGTAACGGGACGGGGCGTGGGAACGGGGCCAAACAGTCCAGCCAGCCAGGCCGGCAGGGCTTCGTCGCTCTGTCTCCCTCGCACCCGGACGCAACGCCCCACCAGTGCGAGAGAGACGCAAAGCGACAACAGCCTGCCGCCGAGCCGCGCCCTGACGCGTGGCGGAGTGGGAGCCGGCTCCGGACTGAAACAGTGAAACACTGTTGCTGCTGGCTCCGCGCATTTCCATGTTGGTCGAAAGAAAAGCAGGGCAAGATCGAGGCCAAGCACCACCGACCCCCGCGACCGAGCCTCGCAAAGCGCGAAGGGCACGGCACGGCACAATGCGACGCCTGTTCGCCTGTTCCCCTGATACACTGCACGCGCTTCGACGCGCTGCCGCTAGGGGGCTCTGCGAACCGCTGCCGGCGCTTCCCTCGCGGTGTACGGTCACCGCGCCCTCTCAACAGGTGCGCAGGCCTCTCGCCTGCCTGAGTGTCTGTGTGGGTGGACGGGGGACTTTAGAGTCTCCTGTACATTACTCCTTAATTTTTGAAGGGGCAAGTTCATTCCTTCTTGAGCTGCCCTCATAACTACCGATCCTACCAATGATGTGAAAGTGCATGTGGCTTCGGGCTGCACTCGTACCCGAGATCACAAATTGAGTCACCCCACTCCGCTCCGCCACGCCGTAAGACAACGCCGTGGTCGTTCCCCGTCGACGTCATCGCGGTCGCCGTCGTCGCGTTTCCCACGGCTCGCATTGTCAGTGACGATGTCGCGCGACGCGGCTTCCGAGACAGACCGGCAGCCACCGGCAGCGTCCCGGCCGAGCCCGCCGCGCCGCCCGCCGCGCCGCCAGAATGCCATCAAACGGTCCATTGGCCAGACTGTCCGTCCGCTCCGTCTCCCTCGCACCCTTGGGGCGGGCCGCATCGGTGCGAGAGAGACGAAGCACTGTTCCGCCCCACAATGCAGCCGCAAGCAGCGCAAGGGCCCAAGCCGGCAAGCCAGAGGCGCATTGGGCTCCTCGACCCGAATCCGGCTGCCTCGCGGGCCTCGGCCTTAGCCTTCGATTTCCAGGAACACGCTCCGAATCGACTCGCGGGCGTCACGCACACTCACTCACAAAAGCAGTTTGAAATCCGCCAGCGGGATTTGAACCCACGCTCCCTCTCCCTGTTGCAGATGTGGCCAGCACTGGTGGCGCTGGTGGTGGCGTCCGCGTCCACGACGTCGGCGGAGTGCACCCCCGGGGCGGGCCACGGCCTCAAGTACCTCTGGGGCGACGCCATGAACGACCCACTCAACTGCATCGGCCCCAGCGGCAACCCCTACCCGACGTGAGTACTTTCCGCTGCCGAGCCGCGTCAACTTGATGTACCCAGATTCGCCAAGGTTTCTTCTTCCTGCGGCAGGGCGGCGATCGCGCGGTCGTGGGGGCGCGGCCACAGCGGCTCCTGGACGTCGGGGCTGTGGTCCGGGTCGGCGCGGACGGGGCGGGCGTCGGGGCTGCAGGCGCCCACCACCATCGACCCGCGCCTCACGCAGCAGGCGCTGCTGCGCCACTACGAGATCAGCAACAGGGAGCCCGAGCTGGAGCTGTCGGCCCGGACCGGGCGCAGCGGCTACAGCCAGAGGGACGCCTGCCCGTCCGCGTCGCCGTCGCGGCTCTGCAAGACGCGCTACAACACCACCGCGCCCATGTACGGCGTGTCGCTTACGTCGGGGCAGCCCGTCACCATCGTACAGAAGTTCCCGGACCTCCTGCAGCAGGTCGTGTTCGAGGTTTGCGAGTGAGTGTCCGCGGTCCCCGCCACCGCCACAGCCTTCGACGCCAGTACTCGAACTGTCCTCTGTTCCAGGTCGAGCGAGTGCGACGTGGTGCGCGGCGAGTGCACGCAGACCTACGTGCCCTACCTGTTCCTGGTCATCCCCCTGGGTCCCGTGACCCTCACCGGCCAGGACTACGTCCTCGTCGAGAGCGGCTGCGTGTGCCGGCCCAAGAGCGGCTCCGGCTCCTCGTCGGCCGCGGAGCCCCCACAGTCCGCGCCCCCACCCCCCGGCCCCTGAGGGGTCCCTGAGGGGTCGGGAGAGCCGCCAGCCCAGGCCCTGAGGGCCGCCCTGAGGGCCGCCCTAGGGGGCCGCCGGGGCAGACTGCTACGCTGTGATGTTCGGAAGCGAGGCGCGCCGTCAGACATGGACCAAAAAGCTAAACGCGCGCCGAGGGCGCCATAACGCACGCCTCGTCGCTTTTGTGTGTGTGTGTGTGTGTGTGTGTGTGTGTGCGCGCAAGCGTCTGTGTGAGTGAAAGGAGACATCCGTGTCGAAGCGCAGCGCCAGCAGTGAGAGAGTGAGACGACGAGTGGCGCCCGCTGGCGCGGTCGTAGCCAAGCAGCGCACGCCGAGGAAGCCGAGGACAAAGACAAGCCTTCAATTGGCGGCGAGTGGCGGCGCCACAGGACGAGCAAAGGAGAGAAAAGATAGAAAAACGAAAACGAAAACGAGGAACAGGTCGTTCAAGTGGAAGGCACCGCGTGAGAGGTTCGCCTCACCGCGGACCGCGGAGTGAGTGCCCAGTGCCCCCTGCCCCGCCCCGGCGGTGTATAAGCCAGCCGCCCGGCCTGGCTAGGGCCTGGCCGCGCTCCGCGAAAAGTGTTCAGCTCTGTTGGGTACAAGTACACATTGCACCAATCTATTGAAAAATTGGCCGGCCCTTTGGCACAGCTCAATTGTAGGGCTCTGGTTATTGGTTGTGGGTTGGGCTCAGCTCTCGCGGTAAATTGCAGTCAGGACAAATCCGGGTGATGGGAAAGCGCCTTTCCAAAGGCGAACTCACATTTTGCGTCTACAGATGAAAAATAAATAAAGTGCTGAACATTTTTCGGGAGCTCTGAAGCGACCTGAGCGAAGTTGTTAGTCTAAGCGCGCAGGAGTCCCTATGTGTATATTTAATTGTGTGAATGTGTGCGTGCGCGTGAGTGGATGAGATGACTGCCTACGTTAATGAATTATTATAAGATGAATGGTGCGCTGTACTTAGTTCTTAACAGGCTTTTATTTATTTTTGTGCTGAAAGATGTAGACGGCTCGTCGTGTTGCTTGACCATTGTCACAGCCCCAACGGCTACATGTAGTACCTAGAAACTGTAATGAATATTTATGTGATAAAAGGAAAGGACCATTTGAGTCACATTATGCGGACCCGGTGGGATGTTAGTTTTCAGACCCATGAAAATCAAACAATAACATTATACGGTGGCAAGACGGGCGTACATCATTGCACGCTATCTCACTTTCATCAAAAGAGATGAGTGTTATCTGCAGAGTTGAAGTTTTCTGTTTAAATTCTAGTGAATTCGTAGCGAGGAAAGGAAAGTCATGGTGCTTCAACATGTGAATGTTACAAGAGCTGTTAATAAAGCAATTGGTGAGATTTTTGCGGATTTTTGGAAGCTTTTTTTCTTTTTTTGGACACGTGAATTTTATTTCCAAGTCCCACCACAGGACACCTGCTGCGTGCGGGCAATCTCGCGGAACCCACCCACCTGGCAGTCCTGGCAGTCCTGGCAGGCGCCCGTGGCGCAGCGGGGCAGTTTTGTGGCCTACCGGACAGGCGCTACCTTCCCGGCGCGGTGGCGAAAAAAGATGTGTGCCAGGCCAGACAAAATCAAATGAAAAAAATAATGATATTTGAGTCACATGCATTGCACTTTATTATGACCCTCTGAAATAGAAGGAAAAATTTTAAGAATCACTGTGCTGATAACAATAAATACATGCTCTCATCTCATATGAAACATTTCATAAACTATAGTTTCGTGACTGAATTTAATCAATTACAAATGTTGCTTTGGGAACATCAGAATGATTTGTATTAATTACTATTCACAATAATAGATTAGGATTACCTGATCTTTTAAAAATCAGTTCTCATTGTAAATCTGAGTTGTGGGGTAAAAATTCTTGGATTCAATAGCTTTGGTTTCACAGTTTGCCTACAATTCATTATCTACATCATTTACACAATTAATACAAAGACACTAATACACAAAGAAGCATCGCATTTTCTAAATGGATAGTATTTACACCACTGATAACACCATACTAATGTATAACTATGCGTCCTGCGCACATTAAAATCAGGTAAATGTACAAGTATTGGAATTTTCATCGAACTAATTAGGGCATTAGGAGATTTTGGAGAAAGCATAAACAACACAATATACTTGCAATGTGAAAATGTTTCCCTCCAAAAGGTTTTGTTTAGAAAGTAACTTCTTTCTAGCTTTCTGATCATGATTGGGTTCCATAATGTATTTCATCTCCACATGCATCAGTTCATGCTCTCCTTGATTTACAAATAATCATTTGACATTCCTTTAATTTTTTCTTCTGCAAAATTACCTCCTCTATCTATGGTGGACCAAGTATTTAGAAATCATTGTGCGTGAGACCAATGATAACTTGTCAATGTCACAGAGTACAAACATTCATAAACAGTAGAGTTTAAGCATGAAGAAAACAGAAAATGTAACTAGTATTAAGTAATCAGGAAATGCATTCATTTAGTACATAACTCATTTTAACTTTTTTTTTCAGTTTTGGTTAAAACAATAATAGAGTGTAGCAAAAAAACAAAACAAAAAAAAACGAATAATAGGTTTTTAACCAACCAATTACTGTACCACCAGTTCACGAACTACACGAATATTTTAACAAATCAAGAAATGTAGAATTGTACTTCGTATTTTCTTTTTAGTCCTGTCTAAAATTTTGTTGCTAAGAGGTCATAATTAAGACCATCTTCTAATTTGGGAGTAAAAGTTCTGGATTAAAAGATCAACAAGAAATCAAGAGAGTAAGACAGTCTCACAAAATGATAGTACAATGTGCCGCTCTGTTTCCTACGGTACATAAATAATATTGACATCTAGATGCTTGCTTGAAAAACAACAACAACAAATACACAAGGTAAACCGAGGCAAAATGCAAGCATGCAGCAAGGATGCATGCATGCAGGCACCACAATATCATTCAATTGACACAAAAAACTAGAGGCAGATCTAAGTTGTGCAGCCACAGATGTCGGGGATTGTGTAGCTGAAAGCCTTCACCATGGGCCCTTCACATCTGCCACCTGAAAAGTAACATCATGTAATCACATGCCAGTTAAGGAACAATTGTAACGGACCAACAGTTAAGCTCAAGACACTTGCTGCTACATACAATCCTAAACCTACAAATAACTTTGAGCCAAAAAGCAAGAGCACAACCAAACTTTGGCAAGAAAGAAACACTATAAAGTAGTCAGGAAATAGCCTGGAACTACAACTACAAAGGCTGGACAACACACACACATACAGCTACACCCAACCTTTAATTCACAGTAATGTGATAGTTACTATATCATAACAACATCCTGATGACTCAAATGAAGAGAAAAAGAAATCATAGTGGATCTTTAGTTAGTATTAAAAAAGTCTAAGCAAGTTTGAAGCTCAAGGATAGGCAAAATAAAATATGATGATAATGGTGATCGAAACTATTGACAGAAGCCAATGCATAACAGAACACAAAGCAGCAACACATTATTATCAAAGTTCAACATGCAAGAGACAAACAAGAAGAGACAGGCTTCTGCAATTTAAAAGTACTGCGAATCCCAATAGCAGTATTGATAAATGTAAGGTAAACAAAATCAGTCTTTACAAAATGTATCAAGAGCTACTCTTTGATTGATGATTGATTCATATTTTAGGAAAGAGCTTACATTGTACGATGTAGTGCATGATTGCATACATTTGTTGTGATCAAACTGTAAATGATCAAAATGTGATTTGTCAACTCACAACTAAGCTGGGTATATTGTGATTCTAATGAAATCTTTTAGATTTATCATGTTGACCACAAATTTAAGCCATATTGTTATCCCAGGAAACTATACTCCGTAGATATGCTAGCCGATCATTGCGTTTCATAAAATTGGTATAAAATAACTAATAACAGGGGCAGACTTTAACCTTCAGACAGAACAAATTCAATAATAACTACATAAAAAAAATACCTCAGTCGTGGAGCAAAAGAAGAAAACGAAATATAGATTGATATCCATAGGGTCGGGTTGGATAGATATAGTTAAAATGCAACACCTAAACGATACGAGGAGGAGATACAGCATATGTATCCATCCAATACATTAAAAAATACTATGGCTGCCCATAGTACAAAGAGATGACTTTAGTATAGTAAACAGCTTATTGCACATTATTACTATGATTTAATAAATTAAAAAGCCATCCTGGCCAGCAGGAGGTTACACAATTCTAATTTCTACACTCACTTTAGATCAGAGACTTTGACGTTATGGGATGGAGGGTGGAACAATCTGCACATTGCAAAAACTAACTCTACAATTTCAAACAATCAGCCAACAAAAGTAAATGTCTTGTGTATAAATTTTGAAACTTACATAAGGTACCTAAGGTAACAGTCGACATATACACAGACAATGTAATTTTAAAAACTGTACATAAAACTACACATAATATATAGTATCATGTCAATAAAGAAAATTAAATCACATTATGAACAGAAAAAAACTATTTATATTTAACAAGTTTCATAAAAAAACAAAACAAAAAAGCTAATTGAAATAAATAGTATAGTAAATTCATGTAACATACAGTCAGTTGAAGTAAAAAGGGGGAAAAGAGTAAAAAGCAGAAGTATAAATATGACACTTTTAAAGTGCTCTTTGGATGTCACCCCCTTAGTCATACTTAAACCAACAAAAAAGTAGTACTGCATTGTTGGTGAATAGAAAGCAGAGTCCACTAAGAGCAGTGGTTAAGCTGGTGAAGATGCAGTAATCTTTTTTTTTTTTCTTTTTTTTTTGATAGAGCAAACAAACCCTGAATAAAAGCCATCCTCTGACTTGGAATTAATGCAAAAACTTCCACTCTCTCATTTAATTTGAAAGAAGAAAAGTTGACAAGGGTTTTGACAGGTTTTGGGCAAAAACATGGGGGTTTGCTCTTCAAATTACGAGAAAGAACAAAGCAACAAAAAGCCAACAAATAAAAGTGATGCAACTTCATTCACACACAGCAATGCAACAATTTATCACAGAGGGGAAAGCTGGTGGAGTCTTTCTTCTCATTCATTTTGCAGTCGCCAGACAAAGACAAAACATCAGTCAAGAGCAAGAGAGGCAGTGGCAACAGCAAAACTTCAACTTCTTAAATGTTTAAGACCAAATTGGTAAACATACACATGACAAAAAAGATGATGATAAAAGGCACAACCTTAATGAGCCGATTTCCCTGTGACAAGCATGGGATTGTGCACCAGACAAAATCAATATTTTTAACATGATAAATAAACATTAAGGTACATAAGAAGGATACTGCTATACCAAATTAAAAAGGATTGTCCCAAAAATGTAATGTAAGTCAACAAAGACTGCAGCACTTTGAGGAGTCCCCAAGATGAATTTGACAGAAGCCAATACCTGCACAAACCTCACTTACTGCAGTAGCAGTTGCATGCAACCCCAAATTTTGGTTAATATCACTAGGTGCTGCTACACGATCCCGTGTTAGAGAACTACAACTTTGTGCCTTGTACAGACGCCCACGACCAAACAGTGGAAGACAAAGTTTGCGGTGCATCTGGAAATAACGCCCCAACAGCCGTATTTTCTTACCTGTACTGCTTTTGCTCGTTAAGGTTTTGCTGACGTTACATACATTTTCCTTTTCTGTAACGGCCTGCTGCTTAGAGACCACCCCTCTGGACCCTGCGTTGGTGCGAGTGGTTTCCAAAGGCTTCGGCTGAGGTGATGGTGGGGGTTTGGGCTGGTCTTCCCGGGGGGTGCCAGGTCCCGCACTCGCAGCAGAGACTGGCGTCGAGGTTGACTTGAGGTTCAGGCCTTGCAGAATCCGCGTCCCGAAACTCCTGGCCTTGGAAGTGCCCGCATTGGTGGCGGCGGCTGCACTGGAGTGGGGGACGGCCAGGACGGCTAGCTCGGCCTCCTGCACCTCAGTGATGCGGTTCAGGGACTGGCTTTCACGTAGTCTCGTCTCACGGGCTCGTCTGCGCCCAACTCTGTGACCCTGCCCCGAGCCCCCGCCGCTGCCGCCGCCCCCGCCGCCCCCGGCACTGCCACCCCCGGAGCCAGTCTCCGACGCTCCGCCGCCGCCGCTTCCACTACCGCCGCCACCGCCGCTACTTCCCCCGCCGCTGCCGCCGCCGCCCCCGCCTCCAGTCTGCTGGTCTTGGGAGCCACCGTCTCCGACAGAGCCACTCCCAACACTTCCACCGCCCCCACCGCCTCCGCCGCCGCCCCCGCCTCCAGGGTCCTGCGAGTCACTAGAGTCATCGTAGGAGTCTCTGCGCGGAGGGTTTTTGAAGTTCTTCAGTTTGTGCGCGCGCTTCTTGCGGCTCTCGCTATCGTCGTCGCTGGCGTCCGAGGAGCTGCAGGACGCCGTCCTCGTCTTGTGGAACTTGCTGCGCCGCTGGTCGTAGCCCATGGTGCGCGGGCTGACGCGGCCCGGGCCCGTCCGGGACGAGGGCAGCATGACGGGCGCCTCGTTCAGACTGTCCACCGTCCGGAAGCCCCCCTCGCCCTCCTCGAAGATCTCGTTGAGCAGCGTGCCGGACGACCGCAGTGACTGCGCGGGCGAAGGCAGGTTCTTGTACCTCGGGGACACGCAGGGCGTCGAGGACGCGTTCTGGGACGCGGGCACGAGCACGGTGGTGGTGGACTCCATCGTAATGGAAGTCCGCGGCTTCGTGTCCTCCATTGGCTGCGAGGCTGTCCCTATCAGCGAGTCCTTACGCCTCTCCGCTTCGGCGAGGCGGTCCTTCACCAGCGCGCTCAGCTTGCCTTCAGAACGAGACCCCCGCCGGTTGAGGGAGCAGGCCGATGCCATGTCCTCTGAACCACTCCCTGCAACTATGTCATCATCTTCTTCATCTTCTTCCTCGGCAACGATGCTGCACTTTCTTGACCGGAAGTTCTGCCAAACATACAGCATTACTAGAACCACACACTTAATGTTTCGTAGCTAGCGCAACTACTGAGCAGGGTAAACACAAGTAGTACCTGGCCAGGGACATCACCGACTGCACAGGGCGAAGCAAGCAATGAAGGGTTCACAGAGCTTATCGGGGACTCCAGCTCGCCCTCTACCACAGGGGAGACACTCACTAGCGGGGCGTTATTGCTGCAAAGGAGAAGGGAATCTAAATAGAAGCGGTAGTTGTCCTGCAAGATCTAGAAAGTATTGTCAACATGAAAGAACACTGAGAACAAATTGCACTAGACTTACATTGGAACATTGTTCGAAACTTTAAGACGAGATAAAGGCCGCTTTGGAAGAGTAGCTTGCCGCACTTGCTTGAGACGCCGTTCAGCCAAAAGGAAATATGTTGCTGTAATATAGTTGTACTCATTCTTGTCTAAAGCTCTGTAATAGGGAGGGATTTCCATTTTAGCTGTGAAATACAGGGCAAGCAAGGAAATGAAGCAGGACTCAAATCTTACTCCATGATTTCTTCTTTAGTTGCTATATTGCCATTGGCCATTTTCTGGATGATGGTAGTGTGATCTTCTTCAGAAACTTGTTCATGAGACACCAATGGCAATAATTCCGCTTGAGGTTCTGCCTCTTCTTCATCCAAAGCAAGCCAGGGGTTTTGAGATATTTCTTCTAATGTTGCTCTCTTTTCTGGCTGTCTGACTAACATTTGAGCAATCAACCTGCACATTAAAAATGATCAAAATTAATAGGGTGACAAAAATTTTAGCTGATTTATGCGGTAGCATAGAGTAATTTATTATTATTATTATAAAATATTACCGTTTGCAAGTGTCTGAGACATGCACTGGAACTGTGTATTTACAGTCCATGATCATTGTCAAAGTTTCACTATCATTTGCTTCTTGAAAAGGAGCTTGACCACAAACTAACATGTACAAAATAACACCCAAGGACCATACATCTGTAAATAGAAACAGAATAAGATTTGTAATATGGAATTGATAAGACTTAAAAAAAAATTGATAGAAATTTTTTTTATTAAAATTTAAAGGACTTAACAGTTTTTGAAAAGGGTACATACCAACAGCAGGTGCATCATAGGAATCACCAAGTAAAATTTCTGGAGCGGAATAAGCAAGTGATCCACATGAAGTTTCTAATTTTTGCCCAGGACAGAACCGATTACTAAAGCCAAAGTCAGTCAGTTTTACTACACCCAAGGTCTCAAAGAAGACAACATTTTCAGGTTTTAAGTCTCGATGAACCACATGCAGACGATGGCAGTAATCTATGGCTCGAACAATTTGCCTAAAGTAGTTACGCGCTGTTTCTTCATCAAGCCCTCTTCCTTCATGTCGCATTATATAGTCATAAAGATCCCCTCCATCTCCCAGTTCCAAAATCAGGTACAGTTTGGTGTTTGTATCAATCACTTCATACAAGCGGACAACATTTGGGTGCTGAACAAGTTTCATACAGCGAACCTAAAACAAAGTTCAATTATTGTCACCGTGTCAACAACGATGAAATAACAAAAAAGCAATTCAAAGAAAGTTGGTGCCTCACCTCCTGGTACAGATGGGCTCTCGACACATCGTCCAGTTTGTTCTTGTCAATGACTTTGACGGCCACCTTCTCGCCGGTGAAGACGTGGCGGGCCAGCTTGACGACGGCGAAGTGTCCGCGGCCCAGCGTCTCCAGCAGGTCGTACATGCCGGCGATCTTGGAGCCGCTCTGCGCCGCCTGGGCCTGCGCCGCCTGGGCGCCCTGGGCGCCGTCGGCCGCGCGGTGCCCGATGCGGTGCATTTCAGAGCTGCAACACACGGGGGGCAGCGGTCAGACTGGCACACAAATTCCGCATAGTGGTTTAGTCGATCTGTCTCAAGGGGTGCGAGAATCGGAGAATGTAGCCAGACGACACGGCGGCGCGGGGCGCGCGGCGCTGGCGAGGCCCATTCACACCCCGCTACACTGCCACCTGCCGGCTCCTCGCTCCGTCTCGCTCGCACTCGCGGGGCCGGCCTTGCCGGCGGGGCTCCGGCGGGGGTGCGACAGAGACAGGTGCGGCTCGGAATCGCTTTGCTGGCGCCGCCGCGGCACGCCGGCACACGTGGGCGCCGCGGTATTAAAAATAGCGAACCCTAGGCCGCGCCACCCGCCACCCCCACCACCGGGCAGCGCGTCCCTTGGGGAGGGAGGGAGGCTGTCCGCGCCGCGCCGCCGCGCCGCCGCGCCCCGGGGAACATCAAAAGGGAGTTTCGCACGCAACAAAATCCCAGCCGCCATCCCCCTAGGGCCCCTAGGCATGACGGCGACGCTGGGGGGACGCGCTGGCCGCAGTGCACACCCCGATGGTCAAAGCCACGCCGCCGAGCGGCCGCGAGCCGAGGGACGCCCCTGGTCGCCCCGTGGCCCCGCCGTGGAGGGGGCAGCGCCGCGCCGCCCTGCCGCACCGCCAAACCCAGACCAGACCAAACAACCCGATTAGGTCAGCCAACCGCGTGTTCGCTCCATCGCAGTATTGTTTGTGCCCTGCGGATTCCCCGATGTGACGCCGCGGGATTTGTAGTCGGGGCCCTTGCGGTGCAGTGGCCGAGGCAGTGGCCCCGCGGTGCCGTTGGATCGGCAGTGTCCCCGGGGCCCGGCCGGTGCGGTGGCGGCGGCAAATTAGCTGTCAGCACCAACAACCCAGCGACGCAGCGAGGGGCGGGCGGGCGAGCACAGAGTACAGCACTTCCATGCAAAACACGGCGTCGCGTGGGACTCGGCGCGCATCCGCATACAACTACGTAACATAGTACGACTTCGACGGGGTCGCGCAACAGGATGCTTTCGATATGAGGAGAAACCCACCCTGGGGGCGCCAGGGCCATGCCGCCAGGGCCACCGCGCCACACTACGACGCCATCCCCCACCCCCTTCCAGCGAGACAGGGACAACACCGTCCGCCGCCCCTTCACCGGCCCCCCTTGACTCCCCCTCCCCACCCTGAGCCCTGAGCGAGGCCGCCGAGGCCCTCGGGGTAGCCGTCTCTTGCAGCGTCTGGCGCGAAAAACCGTTCCAGTCCGCCAGGCCCGGCCTGTCTCTCACAAGTGTGCGAGAGAGACAGAGCGACAAACCGATCTTCCGAATAGCTCAGACCGACACAAATCCAGAGCGGGCGGAGCGAGGCGGACTTGGGTCCTCTTGCTTCACAGCAGCTACACTCGGTATGATCGTCTACCCTTGTCTTGAAAAAAAAGGGGGGGGGGAGGCAACCCGTGTGTCAATTTTTGCGGTGGCGCCGAGGGTGGCGCGCGGCTCACAACAGCTGGGCGCGAGAATCGCGATCGGCGATGCGCGAAGCTGCTGAAGCCCCATTTAAGCCAGGCCACGTGCCGGCCAGAGGCAGCTAGAGGCAGCCAGAGGCCCCAACCCGCCAGCCTTAACTAGGTATGCATATTGCATCCGGCCATCCGGCCACCCTGCACTGCAGCGTGGTGCCGCGTGCCGAGTCTGGGCCGAGCTGGCCGAGCCCAGGGTACGTTCTGCAGGGGTGCGAGGGAGACGGAGCGACAGGCTGCTTGCCGCCTACCCTGCCGTCACTGCCGAGTGGTTCAGAAGATCGCTTGGTCGCTCTGTCTCTCTCGCACCCTTACGGAGTGCCCCATGAGGCGAGAGGCAGAGCGACGAAAGCAGTGCTGGGAAAACAGACCTGCTTGGCCTACCCTGCCGCGCTGGGGTCCGCGGGGGGCGGCGCGGGCATTTTAAAAAAAAAAAGTCTAAAATTCAGACCAAATTGGTAAGAAGTTATTAACAGACTTGAGGTCAAAAGTTCAGCCCTTTAGATGGTCTGAAAATTCAAAACTCGAGAGTCTTACATTAAGAGTTTGGTGGTTGAAAATTCAGTCCGTACAAAGATTGTAAATTTTAAAGGGTTTCGTGACATATTCAATATTACATAGAAAAAATCTCGGGTGTGTGTGAACCTCCAGAGGGACAACATTGAGTAAAAATTGTGATGAGGGAGAAGGCCCTTTTCCCTTTTTCCCCTGACTTTCGAGAGGCGGCCTGTGGCACCCAAGGAAAGGGCGCACGGAGCCCCCCGCAGGGGAAATTTGAAGGGATTGTTAAACTTCCACCATATTGGGAGAAAAATCTTGCGGCAGAGATGGTTCTCATATGGCCGATTAAGTCCTATCAATTTGGAACTTTTCAACCAATATATTTTCACATTAGAAGCCTTTTAAAAAGAAGTAGGTGTGTTCCACAACATGCCGCCATCTAGCGGACAAACGAAATCTGGGGTTTGGGCTGAATTTTTAAAACTTAACCATCTAAATTTTCAGACTGCGCTGGTCTGAAATTTAGGTTCTGAGACGATCAGGTCGCAATTTTCATACCGGAAGGCAAAAAATTTAGACAAGCAGTCTGAAACAAGTCTGAAAAAAAGATTCAGACCACCAAGTCTGACAAAAGTGGTCTGAATTTTTAGATTTTTTTTAACAGTGGGGCGCGTCGCTGTCCCCGTGTGGAGCCTCGCTCGCGCCTCGCGCAGGTCAAGGTCAAGCAGCCCAGTCGTCGGGCCGCGGCGGCAGCGGCACAGTCGCCAACAGCATCCCTCCGCGACACTCGCTTTGTAAACGCCGCGCGGTTGGCTCAAAGTGTTCAAACTCAGACCACTACAGATGAAAAAACTGGTCTCAATTTTCAAAACAGAGACGGATGAAAATGGGTCCGGGCTAGGGTATTACGACGACGCGGTGCCCGCTTCGCCGGTCCACCCCCGGTGCGTGGAACGCCGTTTGCCTACATCAAGGGCAGGGCAGGGGTAAGGGGCGTCGGAAAGGGGCGAGGGGGCCGAGGGGGGCTGGAGCGCAAACAGCCAAGGCCCGGCCCGGCCAGGCCAGGCGTATTGCGCAGCACGCTGGTAAACAATCAGAAGGCCCTCCTTTTCTACGTCCGCCAGCCCGGGGAGTCACTTCCAACTTCTTCACTTGAGAAATAAAATTTTACATTCAACATTCAAGTGTAATTGTTTGTGCCATCTCATTTCGGGGACCGTTCCACCCATTTTCCTCCGAAAATGCTAGAAGTAGGGTCTCATTCCCATTGGTCGCTCCGACTCCCTCGCTGGAGCCCCTGCGAGTAGGCAGCCCGGCCGGCCGGGCGCACGGCTGCTCGGCGGGTTGCCTACCCGGTCTCACTCGGGCGCTTGGCAAGCTTGGCAGAGCTGGAGGCCCCGATCCCGATGCACGCCGCCCGGGGCGGGGCGGGGCGGGGCGGAGGGGCAAGCAGATGATAAAATCCGAATCCGTCGCCTCGAGGTGACCAGCGGACGACCTTTCCGACGGCCAATCACGGGCCCCGAAATGGGCAGCACGGCACGGCACGGCACGGCCGGGGGGAATGGAGCGCGCTAAAACGCAGCAAAACGCATAAAAAAACCGACTGGGATAACGAAAATTCTAAATTATTTTTTTAAATTTACGCCTCTGGGTGCATCCTGGCGTGCGAGAGAGACTGCTTTACGGTGGCGGCGCTGGGCCCGGGGTGCAGGCAGCGTGCAGCGGCGCGGCGCAGCGTGGCCGCGGCAGATAGTTAGCATGCACAAAGCTGGTGCGGCTGCACTAGCTGCACTGCACGATAAAAGGGGAGGGGGAAGGGGCAGTAAGACCGTGCGAGGGGGCCGGAGAAAGGATGGTATTAAAATGATACAAATATCAAAAAGAAAATAACTGAGAGACTGAGATTAGAATAAATGCCTCTTTCACATTTCACTAGTTGATCAAATAAAATAGCAAACAACATTGTTTCGTGATTTTTAGGATCGGACCTCTCCTCATTTCCAAGAAAGACTGGCTTTTGATCTTATCTTGATAACTCAGACCAAATCTCACTCATGTTGTATGGGATCCAGCTGTGTTCACACCAAAGAAGTGATCACTCGTCTTTGAATGTTGAAATATAACACTGCAACGATGGAACACAACAATGTGTCCAAGGAAGAGCAACAGTCAACAGGCAGCGTATCAGTACCTGGCTACTCTTACACAATGAAATTGTTGAAAACTTCATTTTATATCAACCTTTGGGACTTGTTAATTTTAAACAAATCTGATTCAAATTGTACACGATACAGTTATTATCAAACCAAAGGAAAGGAAAGGAATGGAAACAAACAACAATCAAGACAATGCAACCGACATGTAAAACCACAGAAAAATCTACCATAAGATAAAGAGATAGCCGTTGACAAATGAGAAAGCAGGAACATTAATTCAAAAGATTATTTTAAAGGGCAGAATCATAACCTAATAGAATCACATACCCCATATGTTTGTTTATGTAGAGCAAAGCCTGTGGTCCGAAACACGAGTTCGGACAGACACTTCAGCATGAGTTCGAGCAATTACGCTATTTTTTAATGCAAATTCAATAAGACTGCACGAGTTTCGCTGAAATGCTGCGGGGGATACCGTGAGCAGCCACAAATGGAACTGGCTCTGGCTGACTGCCCTAGAAGTGTCAATGGCATTGTCATACACAACAAGGCCAGTGGCAGTGGCAACTTGCTCACTTGGCGCACTCAAATACGATTTTGGGCTTGAATGGGTATTAAAAAATGGCACCGGAGCAATCTAGCGGCTGAGGTACAAATTTAGCTCACATAAATCAACCGAGAGGAGTGGCTGTCGCCTGTCGACACACATTATAACCAAATCACTGGTCAGCAATATAAATAGAACTGCTGGGAGAAAACTTACCAGTTAGCAAGGAAGAGTACTTGTCATGAAATTCACATCCGCGCTATCCTCGTAAACAAAGTGCAGAATACATTTTCATTACTATTGTCGAACACAGTCAAGTAGCCATCCGATCGTCAAAATCCATGAGGCGCGTTTAGTTAGATTGGTTGTGTCGTTAAAAGGTTAGGTCACCCTCCGCCTTGGATGACATGCAGGAACTGTTCCGAAACCGAGCGACAACGGGTGTATTCACCACTGAACAGTCCCTTTTGTTTACTTCAAGTGCAAACATGATTTAAATTTGACATTTCGAACGAAAAACATGATTGAACGAATTACTCTGTCGATTCTTGTATAACCGTGATCGTCGCAGAGTAGATTCTTCAATCAGCGTGAGAAACAGGTGGGCACTGTCACAACTTGCTAATCGAAAAATAGCCGCATAATGGTGTTTTTCACTTCGGTGCTTAAGGGTCGGTCTTAAGCAAGTTTTTGCAAATTTGAAGTATGATCTTGCCAGAAGTTTGTTGTTTGGAGCATTTGTTTTTCGTGAGGGTTGGTTTGCAAGTCTCTCCTGCCTGCATCGAAAATCGATGAAAGTGCCGTGCGGCCGGGCCGCATTCCAGACCTGTAAATCACCCCTTCCCATCTCACCTATTTTAATTTTTGACAGTCTCCACCTACTGATCTGAGCGATGCGTTTAAAGCACCTGAACACTGTTATACCAGCACAGGTAAGGTAAAAAGACTCAAAGTGTCAAAGTTCAATGACTTCTATTAGCTAATTATTTCCCTTTAACTGCGCAGGATGGAGAGGCTCGTATCACAGCGATTGCCTGGTCACCCAACAACTTGAAGCTTGCTGTATGCACGTCAGATAGAATCGTGCTTCTCTTTGATGAAAATGGTGTGAAACGAGATAAGTTTCCTACAAAGCCATCAGATTCAAAGGTAAACTCATGAATTAAAATTATTTACAAGACTCAAATATAATTTAAACATAACTTTTTCTCTGACAGTTTGGCAAAAAGAGTTATTCCGTGAAAGGCCTTGCATTCTCCCCAGACTCAACCAAAGTTGCTGTGGGTCAGACTGATAACATAATTTATGTCTATAAATTAGGTGATGATTGGTAAGCATTGATTTATGGTTGTTCCATCCCCTGGATTGTTAAAGGTTTTGTTTAACACATTGCTTTGCTTGAATTCTTATCAGGGGTGACAAGAAAGTCATATGTAACAAATTTCCACAGCAGTCTGCTGTAACATGCTTGGTGTGGCTTGCTGATGGGCCAATTATATGTGGGACTGCTGATGGAAAGTTGCGTGCAGCACATATTAAGAATAACAAGACCCAAACATTGTACACTACCAACTCCTATGTTGTGTCACTTGCAATGAAGTCAGTTAAATAACTGTATTGATGATATTTTCATGAGTTTTATATGTATACTGTACTCATTTCAATTTTTTTTGTAGCTCTCAAGGAACAGGATTTTTGTCAGGGCATGCTGACGGCTCAATTGTTCGATATTATGTGACTCAGGAAGATAATATGGAGCCCCAAGTAAGATTTGTAGCAGTCAATCATTCTCTTTTAAAAAAGAAAGCTGAAATAGAAGTGAACGAAGTTAAAGTAACTATGCAATCCTTCATAATGCTAATGTTAAATTTGTTTGTAGGGTAGAGTTACTACTCATCCCCACCCTGTTCCTCCCTATGCATTATCATGGCCTATGGGATGTGTCATTGCTGCAGGCTGTGACAAAAGAGTTACTGTCTATGACCGAGACGGTAGAGTCAGTAATCAGTTTGACTACAGCAAGGATGAGAGTGAAAGGGAATTTACTGTTGCATGCACCAGTCCAAGTGGACAAGCAGTGTGCGTTGGTAGTTATGATAAGTAAGTGTTTCTTCATTCAATTATCATTCTCATTTACTTTTGCGATCATGAAGAAATAATTTTACACTTTTATGTTTAGACTACGTTTGTTTGGATGGAATCCCCGAAAGCAATCTTGGGAAGAGGAAGCGGTTAAAGAAGTGCCTCATCTGTACACTGTTACAGCAATGTCATGGAAAAGGGATGGGTCTAAAATAGCATGTGGGGCTCTTTGTGGCTCTGTGGAAATTTTTGAATCTGTTATCAAGTACGTATGCCTCCCATTGTTTAAAACAAATTAAGCAACTTTCACCTGGTTTGCACAAGTTCTTTTATTTTACAGACGAATGCTGTGGAAAAATAAATTTGAGATGACTTATGTTGGTCCAAGTCAAGTACTGGTGAGACCATTATCCTCAGGAGCCAGGGGTGTGGTTCTAAGGTCACAATTTGGTTATGAAATAGATGACGTTCGAATAATGGGTAGAGATAATTATTTAGTTGCTAGGACTCCCAAAACTCTCCTATTGGGTGATCTAGAGCGGAACCTGTTAAGTGAGGTAAGAAATTAAATCAACGGGTAGTTAGTCTAATAAATAACACGGCAACACCTAAATACTTTAAAAAATATTTGCTCAGGTGATGTGGCCTAATTCCGGCCGGAATGAAAGGTTTTACTTTGACAACCCTTTGGTTTGTTTAATATTTAATGCTGGAGAACTGAGTCTTGTAGAATATGGCAGCAACCATATTCTGGGATCTGTCAGGTAGGTCATTTTCTTGCTTTTAACAATTATGTCTTCCAACCAGAAACTCAGATTTCATTTTACTTTTTTAGGACGGAGTTTATGAACCCACATCTCATAAGTGTCAGGCTCAATGAGAGAAGACCTGAAAATAGCACAGAAGATAGTAAAACTTTAGCATATCTTCTGGATTTGAAAACGATTTGTATTGGTGTGTAGTGAATGTATTATTTTACAAGCATGTTATAAGTCAGCAGTTTTGTACTTTTTTACCATATGCTTTTCCACTCCCTTTCCTTATTTATTATCCCCCTTTGTATGATTTTTCAGTGGATTTGGTTTATGGAGTAACTCTGTCTCAAGTGACCCATGATTCTAAAATTGACTGGTTGGAGTTGAATGAAACTGGACACAGACTGCTGTTTAGGGACAAAAAAATGCGCCTTACTCTTCTAGATATCAGATCTGACACGAGGACTCTGATTTTAAGCTATTGTACATTTGTTCAGGTAACTTCAGAATGTTTGTGCTTGCAAGTGCTTAAATTTCTTGTATAATCATTTTGATTTCAATTTTAGTGGGTCCCTGGAAGTGATGTTGTTGTTGCTCAGAGCCGATCAAACTTATGTGTTTGGTATAATATTGACCGCCCTGATGGGGTCACTATTATAATGGTGAAGGGAGAAGTCACCGATGTTGTAAGAGCTGATAACAAGACGGAAGTGAGTTTATTAGTGAGTCACAATTGCAGGTGTTACATCTTGCTCTGACCTTTTCTCATCTCTGTGCCATCTATTTTTATGAAGGTTTTGGTGCTGGAGGGGCACTCTCAACTGAGCTACGAGTTGGATGAGGGCTTGGTAGAGTTTGGCACAGCCGTTCAAGATAATGACTTTGGACGTGCAGTTCTCTATTTAGAAACCTTAAAAGATAGAGCTGTTGCTGAGGGAATGTGGCAAAATCTTGGGGCTATAGCGCTGTCTCAAAATAACTTAAAAGTGGCTGAGCGATGTTATGCAGCTTTGGGTGATATATCCCGCACCCATTTTCTGAGAGAGACTATGAGAATCGCTGAAGAATACTCTAAAGAAACAGGTTTGACTGCAGTATCACTATTTAACTACCCCCATATCCATGGGTTTTGTACAATTTCATTTGATTGTTATAGGTCAAGAGTGGACAAGTTGTCCAGATTTATGGGCTCGAATAGCATTACTGAATAACAAGCTAAAGAGCGCTGAAGCAATATATTTAGAACAAAATCAAATTGACAAAGCAATTGAAATGTACCAGAAAATGCATAAGTGGAACCAAGGTATCTTCGCATACAGCAATATCTTTTTTAAATTCCTTCAGTTATTTATGAATTGTAACACTTTTGTTCTTTTTCTTTCCCTCCTGAAGCTCTTTCAATTGCTGAGCTCAAGGGTCATTCCGGCACAGAAGATTTGGCTTCAAAGTACCTCTCTTGGCTTGTGGAAACAAAGCAGGACGACAAGGCAGGAGAGGTAAAAGAGCAGAATGGAGACCTTGAAGAGGCCTTACAACTGTACTTGAAGGCTGGACTTCCCCTTCGTGCTTCTAGGTGTGTAGGAGTCTCCTCTCTTCTACCTTACAAAATGAAAAAGAGAAATAGAGTGGTAAGTAGTTTTAACATTGTTCCACAGGCTGCTACAGAACAACCCTCATCTGCTCTCAAACGAAGACCTTGTTTCCCGCGTCACTTCTGCTCTTCATCGATCTGAATTATTTGAACAAGCTGGGCAGCTTTATGAGAAGCTCAACCAACCTCAGAAAGCCCTTGATTGTTACCGTCGAGGCCATGCCTATGCTCGGGCTGTTGAATTATCCCGGCAGATTTCACCTTCAGGTTCGTTTAAGGAAGGCAATTCTAGCCCCTATTTTGTAAATTTATTACCATTTTAAGGACTAAGAGCTCATATTTTTATTTAACTCACAGAGGTTGTGTTCCTCGAAGACCAGTGGGGAGACTTCCTTGTAAATTCTCAACAGTTGGATGCAGCCATAAATCACTACATAGAAGCTGGGAAAATGAGCAAAGCACTTGATGCTGCTGTAGGGGCAAGGCAGTGGAGGAAGGCAGAGCAAATCATTCAAGTGAGTTTCCTTCTTAGGAAAATTCCGGATTGCATTTGGAGAGCCTATAGTGGCAGTTCACTTAAGATTTGCACAGTGATGTATTCAGCACATTCAGCACTACATTATGCACTGTAGTTTTGAAATAGTGTCTTCTTCATGGTAGGTGTTTTCTTTTCTACTCCCATTCTGAGCAATTTAACTGTCGTTCAGCATCAAATTTATAAATGTAAAACAAAACCTGTACAATTCATTCTGTAATTTTTCAGGTAATAAAGGATAATAGTATTGTTGAGAAGTACTCTGTGCTGCTAGGGCAGCATTTTGCATCTGTACAAGATTACAGCACGGCAGAAAAGTTGTATTCCCAAGCAGGCATGTTTAAAGAAGCTGTGGAAATGTATAACAAAGCAGGTAAGTCTAAGAAATATACCGTAAATTGCTTGGGACCCATATCATCAAATTTATTTTTTACTTTATTTTTAGGCCTTTGGGATAAAGCTCACAGCATAGCCAATCAACATTTGCAGTCAAATGAAGTCAATTCTATGTATGCTGAGCAAGCAGCTTTGTTGCAACAACAGGGGAAGTTTCGGGATGCAGAGAAACTCTTTGTGTCTATTGACCAGCCTGATGCTGCCATTTCAATGTATAAACAGCAAAAGCAATATGATCAGGTCAGTGTGAATGTGAATGATAATGCAACAAATCTATAATACTTTCTCTTTTTACTGCCCCTTTTTTAAAGCCCCTTTTATTGTGTTTGATTGGTTGCATGTCAAATCATAAACTTAATTTGTCATTTCCAGATGATGCGACTCGTCGTTCAATATCATCCTGATTTAGTTCAGACGACTCATTTACACTTGGCGCAGCAGTTAGAAGCAGAATCAAGCCATGCATCTGCTGAGTATCACTATAATCAAGCTGGAGATTGGAAGTCTGCTGTCAACATGTACAGGACAGCTCTTATGTGGGAAGATGCCTACAGGGTAATGCTTGTGATCAATTAGATGTTGAAAATAAACCCTAAACTAAAGCAATATTTCTGAAATAATTGGATCATATTTTTCCTGCTATGATCAAGGTGGCTAACCAAAAGGGAGGAGCTGCAGCAGCAATGCAGGTGGCGTTTTTGTGGTCCAAGAGTCTGGGAGCCGATTCAGCTGTCAAATTGCTGAACAAAATGAATCTTCTACAGGCCTGCATAGATTATGCATGTGAAACATATCAGGTTGGTTAACTTCAAAGTCATGGCTCTACCATAAGCAATTGGTTTATTTTTCCTCACATATGAAGAATTCTCTTGCAGTTTGATTATGCTTTTGAACTGTCTCGGTTGGGACTGAAGTCTCACCTCCCCCAAGTTCATTATAAGTATGCTATGGCTCTAGAAGATGATGGGAAATTCCAAGAAGCAGAAGATGAGTTTGTGAAAGCAGGCAAACCAAAAGAAGCTGTTCTAATGTATGAGCAACTATGTAAACAGTACTTAATGATTACTTTTTGTTGTTGTGACTCAAAGATTAATTAATTCATGAAAATTTCTAGGTTTATCCACAATCTGGATTGGGACAATGCTGCCCGTGTTGCTGAGCTTCATGATCCAGATAGTGTTTCTGATGTTCTCATTGGTCAAGCAAAAGATGCATTTGCTCGAAACAGCCTTTCTCAATTTGAATCTCTGCTACTGCGAGCTCATAAACCAGAATTCATTGTTAAGCAGTACAAGGTAAGTAAATCTTGACTCACCAAGGATTTCTGTTATTTATTTTTGTTGAATTTATTTTTGTTTTCTCAGGAGGCTGGTATGTGGGTGGATGCCCTTCGTGTATGTAGAGAGTATTTACCTATGCGTCTCCCTCAACTACAAACTGAATATGAACAGCAGCTGGGCAATGCAAGTGGTCCAAGTGATGTTTCCCATTTGATAGCTCAGGCCAAGGAATGGGAGGAGAGCGGAGAATACAAGACAGCTGTTGACTGTCTAATCAGAGTTAGTCCTGCCACTACTTCTCTTTACATTGTCTGTACTTAAACAGTGATCATTATTCTCATTTTATTTTATGTTGCTCCTCAGGCAAGTTTAAATGCTCAAGATTCTTCCATAATAATGCGCACTCTCTCAGATGCTGCTGAAATAACAATGAAATTTCTGGAAGGGAATCAGTCTATGGAAGCAGTTCGTGTTCTAGGTAACACTTTTTTTGCTGTTTTAATATTGCAAAGGTACCTAAAGTAGTTACTTTTTTTTATAATAACCATCTTGTGACAGGACCAAGGATGATGGAAATGAAACAGTCCAGTCTTGCTGCCCAATTGTACCTATCTGCAGGTTTAAGCCGGGAAGCAATTGATGTACTCATTCAGGCAGGAGACTGGAACAGAGCAAAGAAAATTGCCAGAGAATATGACCCGACGTAAGGCTTCATTTTCTGCTGTTCACAAATTTTCTTTTAATAAGATTCTCTTTCAAAATTAATTATGTTGAATCTCTTTACAGTTATGAAGCATATGTTGAGGGAAGGCAAAAAGACTTACTCCGGTCACAGGGAAGAGTGGATCAACTCGCAGATGTAGATGTGATTAGTGCGCTTGATTTGATGGCAGAACAAGGACAGTGGGACAGGTGCCTTGAAGCAGCCTCTCCTCATGGACCTCATGTACTGCACAAATATGTAGCTCTTTATGCATCTCAGCTCATAAAGGTTTGTTACAAATTGTGGAACAAAATTTATAATTTTCCTTTCAACTAAATAAATGTAATTACAGGAAGGCCAGGCCCTGAAAGCATTCGGACTTTATACAAAATATGATGCTCCTGCCTTTTCTCAAAATTTCAATATTTATCGCAGAATTGCATTAGAAATATTTAGTATGCCAGGGCTTGACAATGCTGATGCCTTTACTACTTGGAAGCAGCTCCGCACAATGTTTTACAAGCTGGTAAGAAATAGAAACATATGTACATCATCAAATGATGCACACTGATTCAGTTGTTTTTATTCCAAGACTCCCTGAGTTGTAATTAATAATAATTCATTGATGGTGTTTTTGCAGATGGAAAACTTGCGGACAAGTTCTGAAGATGTATCTCAAGCTTACAACGAGTTTGAAACTCTTTTGAGAATAAGCCACTACTACACATTGTGGTCAGCCTGCAGGTCAAATCCGTCAATGGAGCAGACTGCATTTAAACTTGCTACAGCCTTGTTGAGATATTCCGACATTATTCCAGCAGATAAGGCATTTTACGAAGCTGGAATGGCAGCTAGGGTAAGAATGCTGATCTAAAAGTAACAAATACAGTAATAAAAAAGCAAATAAAATTTATCAAAGTTGCATTTTGTTTTTTGCTGCAGGATGTAGGTCGGGAAAATGAGGCGTTTGTCTTCTTGAACCACTACTTAGATATATGTGAGGCAATCGAGGAAGGAAATGTGGATTTGCTGGATCATTCAGACTTTACAGAAACAGATTTTCCACAAGAAATTCCTCTTCCTGCTGCACCGTACCTCAATCCAAAACAGCATGAAGAAGTCAAGGAGTGGGTATTGGCAATATCCATGGACCAAAAAGTTGACCAGGTACATTTAATTTAAAAAAAAAAAATAACAACCAAATTTTATTTTGTTGTACTTTGAGATTTGCTCGCTCATAATTGGTTTACAGGTTTTGCCTTTAGATGAGCGCAATCTTTATGCATCTTCCTTGCGGTCCAGTAACAAGGCAGAACCAGCAGCCTTCCCCTGTGTTGTGACTGGCTACCCAGTTATGGGTGTTGGCTCAGCAAGAGTTGGACGCCATCCTGCCCCTGTTGAGTTCCAGAAGTCTAATTGTTATGCGAACCAGGAGGATTGGAATGGGTTAGTGATGGCAGCAAGGCTGCCAGGTGGAACAGCCTCAAATTTTGCTGATGTTTTTGATTTTATTAATGAGTGGTGTGGTAGAAGTAATAGTGGAACTGCTGGCATGTCAGGGTTCTCTTTTAAGTAGAATTATGTTTCTAGGCTTTATGTAGTTTCATTGACTATTTTTGACTTGTGACTTAATTTTCAGTTGATGTTTGTATGGTATTTTCCCTTGTGTATTTTATGGTACTGGAGTGAATATATTTGTTGATAAACCACAAGTGTTTCCTCTCTTTTACCTTTTCCAAATCTGACTGCACCTAATGCTGCATGGATGATTCAAATATGATAATGACCAGAATATACAGAAAAGCGCCAACTTCGGTTTGTATTTCCAACTATGGTGGAGTTTATTGAGCAATTCACATAATCCAATTGGTTTAAGAACAAGTAAAACAATATGTATCGTCTTTTAAAGTTATTCCTGAAAATTCACAAATACTCTAAATTACTAAAATCCTCCAATTAAAAAAAAAGAAAAGAATTATCTTTGGAACTAAGGTAAGAGGTCATCACAGAATGATTCTAGTCAAGGTTCTTTGCTTATTACATACATAGCCTTAACATTCTGAAAAACAACAATCAACTTTCGTTGTCTCATCGTTCATTTTAAAAATACATATGATGCATTTTTATATTTACAAAATGTCTGCTTTTCAGTCAGTGAGCTGCCAGGCGCCTGCTCTGCAGAACATTTGTAAAATCCTCACTTTTTCTTCAAAATTTAGCTAAGACACGAGTTTAGTAAAATGAGCTGCCTTATGCTGTGGCAAAGAGGAGCGTCGCGACGGGTTCGGCAGATTGCCTACCGCGCTTAGTTTTCGGGGAACAGCTGGTCGTAGGTGAAGTTCTCCGTGATCCTGTTGGCCACCTCCAGCAGCATCTTGGACGCCGTCGCCTCGATGATGGGCTTGATCACTTTCACGAAGTCCTTGTTGTTGGCGTTGATGGCCTGGTTCACAGACTCGCCTGGAACGGGGAACAAGGAACAACCGGTAAAACGCCTGCGAGAGCCGAGGTAGGCAAGCCCGCCACACTGCCGTGCGTGGGAGCCTGCGTGTTGCCTACCGGCCGGGCGGTCCGCTTGGCTCCGCTCCCAAAAGCAAAAGGCAATACTCACTGAGCACGGGGTCGTTGCCGAACAGGTTGCCGAGGTAGATCTGGTAGTTGGACAGCGCCACGTCCAGGTCCAGCTTGTCGAACTTGATGAAGCGCTGGCCGTTGCGCTCCTCGATGCGGCCCACCATGGTCGCCTCGCCGTACACGTCGGCTGGAGAGAGAAAGAGACAGTCAGGCAATGTCCGGCACACTGCAACGCCACCAACATCCCGTTTCCAACTCACTCGTGTTGCCGGTCATGGGCCCGCGGGTCTTGATGGGCAGGGCCAGCACGTTGACGTTCACCTCGTACTCCCCGGTGAACCGGATGGCGGGGATCTCGATGCTGGCGCGGAAGGTGTTGGTGGCCAGGTCGGTCCTGGAAACGGAACCAAGTCAAAGTTAGCCAATCGGATTCGCGGACGAGTCGCCTGGCAGACGGCGCGGAACATGTCCACTCACTCGATCTTGTGGATCTTGAAGTCGCTGACGCCGCGCGCGTCCACGTTGTGGCCCAGGGCCTTGAACCGGGGCAGGCGGCTGTTCTGCACCGGGGTCACGTTGATCTCGCGGAGGTGCAGCGGCTCCATGGCGGGCACGTCCAGCTCGGGGATTCCTAAACAGAAGATTCACGGTTCGAATCCCGGCACTGCCTCTGTTTTGAAAGCGGTACATTGACCTGCTAATTTCTTTTTGACGTGACGACACTCACCAGCCTTGAGCTGCGGCCTGAGGTTCTCGATCGAGTCCCTGATGCAGTCATTGAGGTTCGGGTTGTTCCTCTTGCACACCTTGATGTAGGAGGCTGCGGGCAAAGACAATGATCACGCTCGGTTAGGGAAGACGCACACACGCACTCACACACACACAGTCACACACACCGACACGCAGGATGAGTGAGAAGCAAGCGTCCCGGCCCGGTGGGAATGGGACCTGAATGGAACCCCGCGCCGCCCGCGCTCAACCACCCATCACCTCGGGCACGTGCTCCGTCGCCGCGTCTCTCTCGCACCCCAGCGGGACGGTGCGGGACGGTGCGGGACGCACCGAGGAGTGCAAGAGAGAAAGAGAGAGGCAGGGCCACGTGCCCCGCCACGCCGGGCCTTCTCAGCCGCATCTCCGAATTGGCTCCAAATTGGCGGTGTAAGGCAGCGCTGGAACAGACGTCGCGTCGTCTGCTCTGCGTCCGGGACGGTCCGGGACGGTCCGGGAGTCGGAGACGTCGTCATCCGTGTCTACGCCGCGGGTCGGCCGGGCCGGCCGGGCCGGCGCCACGCGTCTGTGCAATCATTTCCGGCCAGAGCACCCAGCGCGGCCTGCCCCGCTGGGCCCCGCTGGGCTTGTGCTTGTTGTCCACCCAATTTGGAATTTCCCCGCGCGGTTGCCGGATTCCGATTCCCATTCCGCACGGCGTTTCGCCACTCCGTCTCTCTCGCACCCCTGAGGAACGCCCCGTGGGTGCGAGAGAGACAGAGCGACGAAACCACTGCGGGTGACTCTGCCGAACGGCGGCTAGCGAGGTCCTGCAGGTCCTGCGAGGGAAGTCCGCCGGCCGGGCGGTTCACACGCCCGTGACCGTGGTCCTGGTCGCCGCCTCGCCGCCGTGCGGCGCGCGCAGCGCAGGCAGCCGCTTCCTACTGGCGTCAGAAAGCCGAAGCCTCCGACGCCAGCACGCCACTGCAGTGTTATTGATTGAGGAATCCAAAGCTAGCGCAGCGAACAAAGACAATGTACGCAACTATTAAATATGCGCTGCGGCTGCCAAGGATGTGCGCGTAGTACACTGGAGGACGCTGCTCGACGCTGATCCACGGCCGGCCGGCAGATTCCGTACAGTGTTTTCGTCGCTCCGTCTCTCTCGCACCGGCCGGGGTCCGAGTCCGTGGGCGGGGCGCGAGAGAGACGACCGTGCGACGACGCACTTCTAGGAATAGTCTTTCCGCAGACTACCGTTCGCGCGCTCATTCAGAGAGGATGGGATAATTCCGGATAATTCTATCGGTTGCATAAGAGCTAAACGCACGAGGCGGCAGACGCCGCGTGGCCGGAGAGCAGAGCGATTTGCACACGATGTGTCACGAAGTACCGCCCGCCGCGGCACACGCTCCACGTCACACGCCACGTTCGGTCGGTTCGTGCGCCGTGCCAGGCCGCGCCGGCAGTGCAACGTTTTGACACCAATTGGCGCCGGTTTCCCCCAACTCTGCCGTGCAGTGCAGTGCTGGCTGTGCTCCTTTGCCGCGGCCGGCCCCCGACGGTTCGGCAGTCCCGCCGACCACGCCTGCCTCCGGACTGCCTGCCCGCCAAGGGGCTCGACCTCTCTGTCTCTCTCGCACTCACAGGGCGTCGCCTAAAGGCGCGTAAAAAGTGGGCAAACAGGCGATCAAGCGCACCCATGTGCATCCCGCCTACTGCTTTAAATATTCACTCCACCTGGTACACGCCTTCGGAGTCGACCTAACAAGTACCGAGTAAGCAAAGTTGGCAACTTCTCGCCACGGCGATCGGAGGCTCGCCTGCGGGGGGTATCGACGGTTTTTTCCTACCGATCATACACTCTCGAATTTCCTCGAGCACCCGTCTCGCTGTGGTGTACAGACGGCCTTCGGCTGTGAAATTGGTTTCGCCCGTTCTAGGAAATAGATCATTCTCTCAGAGATGGGACCCGGCAGGCCTGGCGGGCTCCACGCGCGGGGACGGATGGGGGGAGGGGCGGGGGGCGTAGGCGCACGTCAAACACTGTGGTTGCCACCGGCAATCGGCGTGCGCGGTGCGCGCAGGACCGGGAAAACCACGCATCAAAAAATTGAAGATGAGAAATCACTCTGGCGGAGAGCAGGCTCACGCACTGTCGTGTCAACACGCTCGCTCGACGGGACGCTCGCGCTGCATCGCCCTTGGACACCGAGCGCCACGCTCGCCGCCACGCTCGCCGCGCCCGAGCGCGCTGCCGGCTGCACTCCGATTGCACTTGACCGTGGCCGGGCGGAAACGCGTGCAGAAGCGCGCGAGTTTTCGGAAACAGTTCCGTCCGGCAATGCGGCGCGGCGTGCGCACCGAGCACGTAATGCGTTACCGCTTGGCCGAGCCGTGCCGCGCCGTGCCGTGCCGCGCCGCGCCAATGTTCACGCCCAGCCATTGAGCGTGTGAGGCGAGGCGACGCGACACGCGTCCTCGGCGCCTCCTCGCCGCTCAGTCAATTACGTCGCGGCCCCGCTTCCGAACCGAGCTCCCTCGCGCTGTCTCTCTCTCACTCCAACGACTCGCCGCACGCGTGCGAGAGAGACAGCGCGACGAGGCATTGTTCAGGACTGCCCCTGACGAGAAGCGTGAGAATCCAGGCGTCATTTCACTCGAATCAGTCTCGGCCTGACGCGCGGCACTTCGTGCTCACAGTGGTTCCTGTCGTGTTTTTATGACGGCTAGGACAGTTTTTCCTTCTTATTTTTTTTTGAGGGGGCGGGGAGGAAAAGAAGTGACGAACCAAAGTCAATTGGCACTGTGTTCCAGTGGCTGGCCTTTCGCTAGTTTCGTCCTTGCGGTGACATTTCGCTCCGGGCCTTCCGGGCGCGAAGCCGCCAACGAGTTCCAGTCCAGCCCAACCCGGGGCAGTGGGCTCTCGCTGCAGGTGCCGCCGGACTTGGATGTATTAGACGCGTCTAGAGTTTTGTCCGCCTCCACCGGTCTTCTGGCGCACTGTGCGGGACGTCCGTGGCTTTCAGGGGATGCCATGGTGCGGGCCGCGCGGTGTGCAGTTTGGCGCACTCGACGGCGTCCTTGAGGGCGTCCGAGATCGCAGCGCCACGCCACGCCACGCCGCGCTACGCCACGCCACGCCACGCCAAACGCGCCAAGCCGCGGAAGCTCTTTCGCGGAGCATCCCGCCGTTCGACGTTTTAATGAATCACTTGTCTCACACAGGGGAAAAAATTCCGCGAAGAATGGCACCGTGTGGCAGGTCACCTTCAAGGACCGCTCAAGTCCCTTAGCCGCGGTGTCCAAAGGACCCTTGTTCTAGGGTCCTAGAACTGTGTCATTTCAGGTTCTAGCGGTTTTCCCAGTTCTACATCGTGCCGTTACGCCCCGTGGAATAACACTTGTGCGCGAAAACGGTAATTAGATTAGCGAGAAACGAAGAGGGGAAGCCAAAATTAATAAGATCATTGCGGTAGTCAAATATTGAAAACGAAAACAGCGAAACATAACGACAACAAGTGCGCAAAAAGTGCGCACGTAACTTTTTTTTAAAAAAGTAAATTTTTGACAATGCGTGAAGACTGCTGTCATGAGGGTGGGTGGTCGCTGACTGGATGCCAGGGTGGCCGTCCACAGAGTACTCACGCAGGGGCTTCTGGGCGTGGGCCAGGGCGAGGACGGCGAGCAGGGCCGCGGCGGCGAGGGCGGTGGCGGTCTTCATCGCGGTGGCTGCCGGTGGCTGCTGGAGGAACGGAACTGAACACGACGGGCGCCGCGGAGCACTGCGATGCCCCAGCGCGGGCGCCGGCAGTTTTATAACAAACAAGGTTGGGACGCGGCGGCGCCTCCTGCGCGGACCGCCGCGGGGAGTGGAGCCTCAGCGGCGCGCTGTTCGCTTGGCGCTTCGCGGGGGGCGGCGTGCCGTCGCGCGGTCCATGCGCAGGACCGAGCGACGGCAGCTATCAAAGTTCGGTCCCTATCACACAATTGTTGAACAAAAGTTGAAAAAAAATAACAGTACAAAACAAGGGGCCGGGGGAGAGGGTTAGTCCTCGATTTGGTACTTGGTCGCCTGAACGCCTCTGCTCGTCGTGCTGTGATGGAAGTCTGAAGGTGCCATCACGCTGATGGAGACGACAAAACGACAGTGCGGCCGGGGGGCCTGCGCGCTCCGTCTCCCTCGCACCCCTGATGGACGCCCCATCAGTGCGAGAGAGACAGCAGAGCGACGAAAGCACTAATCCGCACGTGCCTGCCCCGTGCTCGTCGCCGAACCTGGAGAGCAAGCCCAAAGTGAAGGCACGACCAATCACCGCCCACCGCGCTTATCCATCACCAGAGCAGCATCCGCGTCCGCCAGCGGAGCGGAGGAGGAATTAACGGTCGCCCTGTCGCGCGCGTGCGCGTTCAAAGCGCTCCATTGCCGGCGGAAAATCTTACAACATCTCGAACAAACCAATCGACAAAACGAAGCCGCTGATTGGCGGCGCGGATCGGGAGTTTCCTGCGAACGACCGCCGTCGTGTTCCCTCCTCGGCGCCAAGCCGCGCCAAGCCCGAAGCGCGAAGGGAGCGGAGGCGCCATGCACACACACACACACACACACACACACGTACACACACACACACACTCTCACACACACACTCGCAGGCCTGCCGTGCGGCACGCGGTGCGGCATTGCAGCCGATTTTTCCGGCCGTTCCCGCGACGTGCCTTTCTCGGTGGTCGTGCAGCAGGCAGACTGATTCCGAGCCTCGCGGCGTGCCGCATAGGGCGCGAGAGAGACGGAGCGCAAGACCCTCCCGGAATGAGTCTGCATAGCACTTGCGTAGCGGCGCGTCCACTGCAGCGTGAGCCGTAAAAAGTATTTTTGCAAAGGCGATGAGTTTCGGGAAATAAAGATCCTCTCCGAGCGAAGGAGCCGCGCGGTCCACACACTGCAACGGCCGACCGTTGATCATCATGTCGCGGTGATCATCGCAACATTTGGACATGATGACGTCAGGACGATGACGTCACCCGAACAGTGCTTCGGTCGCTCTGTCCCACCCCTACGGAACGCCGCACGCGTGGGAGCGAGACGGAGCGGCGGAGATCTGTTTGAAATGAGACCACTGACTGCGCGACGTCAGGAAGACGTCAGGACGACGTCATCGGACGCGTGCCTCCATACGGGCAGTGCGGTCCGTCCGGGTCCAGCGGCTGCCAGCGGCCAGCAACAACAGGGCACCCATTAGCATGCGGGATGGTGTGCGCTCCAGGCTTTCAGGCCGTGCAGGCCTTTCGGCGTCCGCACTGGGTGCCGTGCGCTGTGTGCGGTGCGCGCCGGTCGAACCGAACCCGACCTAACCTCCTCGGCCTGCAAGTGGACCATAACTGAGCGCGCTGAACGGAGTCAGGAAGTTTAAGATCCGAGTGCTTCAAAATCAAAAGGAATGTGCATCTGCGCGCGCATGCCAAACAAAAACACCCGATTTCGCAGTGTAGGTTGGACGAGGTTAGGTTGGCTGAAATGAGGTTAGGTTAGTGAGGTTAGGTTCGGCTGTGCTCCCCGTCCTTCCTCTCTAGCCTCTCCAGTCTCCCTAGTCCGTAGCGGCACGCAAGGCGGGGGACGCGTCGGTGCCACTACACTGTAGCCTGCCCCGTCATCAGGGGGACAACGGCGGGAAAAACTGAAAGATGACGGGATGCGCGGGGATTTGAACCCGTGCCCTGCGTGGGATTTGGATGGGTGCCTCGAGTGAACGATCGTACAGAGTAGCAATCTGCCGCTGGGTCAAGGGAGGACAGGGCATCGGGCGCTCGAGTGCTCGCACACTACAACTTGCGGTGTTTGGAGTGGAGACAGGAGGACCGGGATGAAAAGGTTCTGATTTGAGCTCCTATCCTCCCATTGATTTTGGTTTGTCCATGTTTGTCGACAAGAGCTGCTGCAACAGAACCTTACTCTCAGAGGAGATCCAAAAATCGAAAAGTGAGACATCTGAGTGGGGCTGCCAGGCTGAGCTAGCCCCGCCCCCGCCGCAAGAGCCGCTACAGTTTGGCCGTGGCAGTGACTTGAACGCGGCGGCGCGGGCAGGGTAGGGCTGGGCCGTCGGCCGCCGTCGGGGCCGCTCGGGGCGAGCGCGTACGTCACGTCGCGTCGCGTGGCTGGAGCCTCCAGGATCTAGAGAGCCTCCAGTGAAATCAACAGTCAGGCGGCGATGGCTTTTCTTTCCGCTCCACCAGTTTGCGCTTTAAATTGTGTTTTATCCCAGTCATTTTGTTTTGGGGAAATAGTAATAGACAGACAGCAGCAAAAAAAAAAAAATTCTAAAAAAAATATCCATTGGAAATTGCCGGCTTTTTTTGTTGGAATGACCATCAATTATTAAGTTTAATAAATTAAAATTAAGCCGTTTTTTTAAGGCATTCCTCACCATAAACTTGCGGCCAATGCTCGGGTTGAAGGACGCGGGGCGTGATGCGAGCGCGGACGTGCATGGGCACTGCTTCGTAAACACGTAAGCACGTAAACTCGCGTCTTCCATTTCCAATTCAATGCCGGGGTGGCTTCCCTTTGTCTGAGTTTCTGTCTTACGGCCTCACACTGCAGCGCGGCTCGTTACTGTGTGTGTGTGTGCGCGCGCAGACTGCACACGCGAACGTTGGCACCTCACGCAGCCCGCCAAAGCACGGAAGGGTCCATGACACGGTGCAGCGGCCGTGTGTCTGGCTGCGCCTGTGCGTGTGTGTGTGTGTGTGTTCAGGGGCCGGGCCCGATGCATCCAACACTCCATCCTGCAGTAATAGTGCCGGAAAGATGGGAGGGAGAGAGATAGAGAGAGGCCGCAGTGCGGAGCTGAAGGTTGGCCGCGAATTCTGTCACGCTCATACTCGTTGCGGTTATCGTTAACGCCTGTTGGGGGGTAGCTCAGGGAAACCTCCTCCGTCGGCTCAGAGCTAATCCTGCTACTGTAGGAGTACATCCATGTAAGGAGTTTCTTGAACTAAGATAATTTACTAGGATCAAGTGAATTGCCTTGGTTCAACTTTTTGGAGACGACGTCAATTTTGTGACAGCGTCCGACAGTGTCCGAGCGTCAATTGATTCTCCCAGAATGTTGCACATAGTGTGAAAATTAACCGCCGTCATTGAGACATCAACTACAAAATTTACAACAAAAAAAATTACGAAAAAGAAACCCTTGTTGAAGGCAACATGACGAGCGTGCCATCCTCAATTTCCCAGACCAAACAAAACATGCGTTCTGTGTTTGGCAGCAGAGACTCTGGGGAGTTCCAGAAGACCAACCGAGTCGTCCGAATCCGGCTTGTGGTTACCCACACTGCAATTAACTGCCTCGCCTCTGTAAAGACCGCAATAATTAAAACGCGCTGTTTTCCTCGGGTCCCAATATTTTGCTCCGATTGTTGTTTGTTGTGCCTGCTCGAGCAGGCTCGACGGACGGCGTGGGCACCAAGCACAGCCTCAGTGTTGCAGAACCTGCCAAACTGCGCCGCTCAGCGTCGCTAACGTTTGAAACTTCCATGTCTGCAGGAGACTGGACTGCCCAGGGCCGCCTGGCGGGTAGGCCACCCAATTGGCGCGTCGCACACGTGTGTGTGTGTGTGAGTGTGAGGGTGGGAGTGAGAGAGAGAGTGAGTGTCACTGTCACAAATAAAATGGAGCGGGTTTATGAATTGCTTCACAATCGTTTATTTCCATACAAACTCGGAACATTTATTCAAAGAGGGGTATTTTGCGCGCAGTAACAAATAGACAATTGCACTCTGTTCTGTCACAAAAATAACTCTTGCTACTTTATCAAAATTCACTTTTTTTTAACAGTAATTGCAGGTCCTAATGATTAGGTTTAAGATTTCGAAAAGTTAGTAATTGCGCGTTTTACCGAGGTGTTAAAAATTAACGTTACACTAAAGTGACAGTTTACTTAATGCCTCAGTCGGCATTCCACATTTATGATTTACAAAAGGAACGGAAAGGAGTTCTTTATACAGTTTTTAGTTGCTGCGAAATCAATTCATTTTGGCACAAAATATATTCAGATTGAAAAGTTTAGATAACTAACATGGAAGGATTGAAGGAGATATGGCAGTTACAAATGTTTTATTTGAATATAAAATCGCAACTGGATCTCTCATAGTTATCAACTGTAGTACTATGGGTTGCAGTCCTGAGCAAAATGTGCAAACTAATTCTACCGTGAGTAATGTATTTCTTTAAAATAATTACACTCGAAAACTCACATACAGCTACGAAGACATCGGCTCAGGATACCCATCGCTTAAAATTACTAATTAAATAACAATAAATGGAAAAATCATTACGCACTATTCTTAAAAATGCATATAAGTTATTGTCATGGGCTTCAATTGGAACTTTTAATTTATTCTTCTTCGTAATAAATACCACTCGATCATACACTCTACAAATCTTTCAGCTGGACACATATTGTTCTCATAAATTGACCTTCAATCGACTTGATTGAAACCTTACACAAAATTCACTCTATTTTAACACTGATATCTCCTTGGACGTTTAAAGCAATAGCGCGAGAGGAAAGTTTCACGTGTTACGTAATACTTATGAAGCAAACCAATTTCAGGTCAGTTAAAGCTAAAGATCACGAATAGGCGCTCCTCCGCCGCAGGCAGGACAGAATTAGTGTTGTTCACTCTAAAAGTCTTACAGTGAAATTTTAGCTGAGATACAGTGATTCCGGCGCCAGCATAAACGGAAACAGCATTTCTCCATAATACGAATCGTTTATCGATTTTCACTGTAACGTGCAAAGAAAAACTTTCATAATGCAAAGAAAAACTACGTTCGTATTACTAGGCTGTTTCCGTCGCAAAATGGTAAATTTCTTCGTAAGACTTGGGATTGTCTGCCGTGTGGGAGCGGCCAGCTTGACTCAAGGAATGAACATTTTCGAAGCGCACCTTGCACCGTTCGCCAGAAACAGGAGGGCGGTGACGGCGCAGCGACACGGGGCGAGGAGAGAAGGGACGCGAAGGACGTGCGGGGCGCAGGTTTCCAGCCGAGGGCGAACTGAACGCCGGGTCGCCCTCGTCTCTCCAACGGCGGGCGTATTTCGGAATTGGATTTCTGACCTTCGTTAACCCCACATGTCAACAACCGCCGCACCTTTGAGGAGACGAGCCCGACCGCCACGGCGGACGTCACGGGTCAAGCACCGAGCAGCCCGGGCCGCCGCCGTACAGCCGCCGTGCCGCGCTGCGCTCGCGAGCGATGGGTTGCCTACCCAGGCCGCCACATTACCATTACGGGCTAGACCACACATGATCGTAGGCTGTTGCTTGGCCGTTGGTGATGGTGATGGGCTTGGCCGCTTGGCTCGCTACTGCACCATGTTGGCGCGAATCCACTCGGCGTAGTGGTCCACCCTGGTGTACACGCTGGGCACGCCCTCCACGCCGCACTTGGTGGAGCCGAACGACACCATGGCGATCTGCGGACAGAGACACCAGTTGATGACTTTGTCGATACCCCGTGGCGTCTGGGCGAGCCTGCCACTGCCACGCGGGGTAGTGCCGCACCTGGTAGTAGCGCGTGCCGGTGGCGTCCAGGGTGACGAGCGGCGCGCCGCCGAAGCCGGAGCAGGCGTCGTGGCCGTCCTCGCCGCCCACGCACAGCATGTCGCTCGTGACGGGCACCACGCGCTCGTAGACCTGCGCGCACGTCTCCAGCGGCAGCACGGGCAGGTCCAGCTGCTGCTGCTGGCCCGGCACCGCTGCAACAGAGAGTCGAGAGTTTGCTCGCAAGCGCACAAAGGCGACCAACATTCTAGACGCGTTTTGAGCTCCAGAGTCGCTAAATGGGACTCGAACCGGACGTGTGACCCCACCAATGGATTGCTCTCCGAACGAGGAATCCATTGGTGGGGTCACACGGTCGGTTCGAGGATTGGCAAGGCGTTGCTAGGCGTTGCTTACCCCTCTGGCCGGCAGCGAGCCCCCAGCCCACCAGCTTGGCGCGCTGGCCCACCACGCCCACCACGTTCTGGCTGATGCAGATGGGCTGCGCGCCCAGGGAGAAGGCGATGGGGGCCTTGAGCACGAGCAGCGCCACGTCGTGGCGGAACGAGGCGCGCTCGTAGCTGGGGTGCACCACCACGTGGTCCACCGGGATGTCCTGCGGCGGGCGCGCGCAGAAGCCCGTCGAGCAGTCGGGGTCCTCGTCGGCGTCGTACTCCCCCACGCGGACCGCCGACCTGCGGGACGAAGGCCGTGGGGAAGAAAGTTGCCTCGGATCGTTTTGGAAAATTTGCGAAACCTGCACTCGACTTACAGCTTGTGCGTGGCGGTCTTGGCCAGCGCGCAGTGGGCCGCGGTCAGGATCACCCGTTCGGAGATGATGGAGCCGCAGCAGGGGTACTCCATGGCACCGGTCTCGACCTCTGTGACAACGAGGACAACGTGAGTAAGGGCATCCTCCAAAACCCAATTTTTTAAAAACAGAAACGTTGAGATAGTGTAAAGAATTTTGACAGAAAACAGTGACTAATCAAAAAGGAACTTGTCAATCATTTCGCTCTTGATGGAGGCGGCAAGGAAATATTTTTGCTCATTGTCGTCGAACCATCAATCGAACAGACAAGCGAGCATTGTCCAAGTTGGCTTGCTCGTGCGCGGGGCGTCCTTGCCGCTCGACACGGATACGCTGCAGCGGGGCGGACTTACTCTTGAAGCCGATCCGGGCCACCCAGGGCTGCGAGCCGACCCCCGCGTACCGACTCCTCCAGTTGTACAGGTGCGGGGTGCCGCACTTGTGGGGCAGGGGGTCGGGGGTGGTGATGGCGGGCGGCGCGGTGGTCACAACGGGGGCGGCGTTGGCGGCGCCCGTGCTCATGTAGATGGGGGAGAAGCCCCCCGGGGGACAGCAGACCATGGCCTCCGAGCCCCTGGAGCCGCACGACAGCTGGGCCAGCCTGGTGGAGCCGAAACAAAGACAGTACAGTACAAAGAGGCGAAAAAAGGAGAGAAAAGAAAAAGAACCGAGCGGGATCCACCGAAGCATATGACGTTGTATGTTCGACCTCGGCCCCGGTGCCCCCGGTGCCCCCGGTGCCCCCGGTGCCCCAGGCCGCGAGGGGCGTTTGGACCGCCAGTTCAGTAATTCATTTTTGAACACAAAAGAGCAGGTCCTGAATGCTTCCCTCGTTGAAAGGATTTTGTTTGGCGCAGTGTCACTGCTCCTTGGAGTCAGCCCAGCACAACTCCTTATGCTGCCCTACTTCCCCCGCTGTCATAAAGGCGTTTATATCTTTCTGCATGTCGAGGAAGAAGCTGGTGGAGCACGGCGAGCACCGCGCTGTACTGTTCAAAGCGCGCGCACGTATCACATTTCGTGGGGGAAGTTCAAAATACCTGCAAGATTGCGTTTTCTTGTTGTTGTTAAGACAAATGTTTTTGTTGCTGGCGGGGACTTACTTGTCGCCGGCGAGGCACGTGCGGTCCAGCAGGTCCAGGATGGTCCTGCACTGGGTGAGCGGCGTGCAGTAGGCGCCGGGCGCGCACAGCACCACGTTGCTGGCGGTGGCGGCGGTGGGCCCCAGCGTGTACGGCACCGACCGCGGGATCTTGCTGGAGACCAGGTCGCCCTCGTCGCCCATGTCGGACTCCAGCTCGGGGCCGGCGGACAGCCCCACGGGCAGCCCCACGGACACGTCAGCCGGGGAGGACGCGTACGCGGCCGTGTCCACCTCCACGGGGTCCGGGGACGCCGACGACGCGGGGTCCGACCACAAGGCCGCCGAGTTCGGCGTGGTCACGGCGACGACCTCGGGGCTCCCCGTGCCGACCAGGCCGGCCATGCCCGAGGAGGTGCTCCATGCCGCGCTGAGGGGCGCGGCGCTGGCGGCGCTGCTCTCCGACAAGCCGGGGCCCGGCGAGGACTGCAGGCGCTGCACGTCGGGGCCGTCCTCGTCCACGAGGGGCCGCACGGCTGGAACACAGACAGTCACACCATTAGCGCGAAAGGCTTGCCTCGAAAAAAAAAAGACAAGAAAGACCGCGGAGGGTTGTCTGGAGAAAAGCGGGCCAAAAAAAGGGAACGAAATTATTAGTCCTGCCACTACAACGAAGAATTTCTCAAGCTCAAAGAAACATGCAACTCCCCGGCGGTGTTGGCTGGGGAGAAATTGTCTCCGGAAAAAAAAGGTGTCCTCCTCTCCTCCCCCTTTCTCTTGAGCCTTCTAGTGCTCCAGTCTTCCAGCGCTCCGGCAGACAGGCGTCTCTTTTTCGCCCTGCGGTGCGTTTCATTTGCGCCAAGATATCCGGATTATCAAGTCTCATTACGTTTATGCGTTTGCTGCCTGGAGCCAGGAGCCCGCCCCCTACTCCTAACACCGCCCCCCACCCCACGCTTTTTCTCCCCCTCCCCTCTCTCTCGGTCCCTGCGTGTCTTTCTTCTTCACCCCAGCAGCCCAGCAGGCTCTTTCCGAACTGTGCAACTTTCGTCGCGCTGTCTCTCTCGCACTCATGGGGCGTTCTGGAGGGGTGCGAGAGAGACAGCGCGACGACGCCCCGGAGACAAAGCCCTTAGTATTCACCGCGCGGCAAGACCTATGAGGGAAGCCATTCTATTTTCCGTGTTGGCTCCTGATTCTCTGCCCCGGGGCCCCGCCGCGCCCCGCCGCGCCCCGCCTTGGCCGCGCCGCGTCCCTGGAGGCCGCCTCCCCCCTCCCCACCCTCCCGCCCCTCGCGTGGAGGGACGGGCCAACGGATGTGTCCTCGGCAAACACTCTGTGTGCCACCCTCGGGCAGGACACAAAGGCCAGGCCGCCGGGCCCGGCTAGGCCGCACGTTGGTTGGCTTTTAGGCAGATTACTCATCAACTGTGACCGGCCGGTCGGCCGGTCGGCCGCCGTCAGTTGGTTGGCAGGCAGTTGGCGGCGCGCTGCGCTCGTCAAAACGGTACGAGGTTCGATTCCGGCCACCGGCCTCATTTTCCTGTGCCCAAACCACGTCAATTCCAAGTGAAAGAGAAACAACAACAAAATTCCGTTGTTGGAAATAAAAAAAACGCCGCGCTCAAGAGCATTGACAAGACCCACTCTTGGGAGTAAAGATGGATCTTCTCCGTTTGGCAGACCGAAAATGGGGGCAGGTTTGATTCCTGGGGGGTGAACGCCGAAAGGCACGGCGGAAACAAAAAGCACGAAGTAAAAACTTTGTTCCCACTTTTCGGCTCTCCCGTTCGGGCGTGGGCGCGTTTTCTTTGCAGTGAAGGTTATTCCAAAAGTGTTCCCCAATTACGGGACACGCTGCCAAGACGCCATCAATACGCTACAGTGCCCACGACGGCCCACGACGTGGAGGTGGGGAAAGGGGGAGCCACTTGGAGGGTGTTTTCGCTCAACTTGCTATCAATTTCAGCCTGATTGGCTTCCTCCAGGCTCCAGCCCGCTCCAGCCCGCCGCCGCTACAGGTAGTTGGCAGCAGTGGCCCCGCCAAAACGGCCCCGCCAAAACGGCCGCGCCGAAACGCGCCGAGGTTTGGCGCCGCCGGCCATCGCTGCCAACTTGGCGGGACCGGCTAACTCTTCCCCGGAAATGGAATTTGAGCGCGTGAGGGAGAGAGACAGAGCGTGGACGAGAAGTGAGCGGGAAATTTGAAGCCCGCGTGTACTTTGGAGCGGCGCCTCTCAGCGACGCCGGGACGGCCGGGGCGGGGCGGGCGAAAGCGCAGAAAGCCTAGGCACGGCACGGCACGGCCTGGCGCGGCTCGGCACGGCACGGCAAGCCACGGCGGCAAGCAGCGCCATTTGCATGATTGAATTCATCAGCGAGGCCGAGGCGGCCGAGGCGAGGGTGGAGATCGCGCATTCAAAGGAGCGCTCCTCCACTCCCGTGCGACCCCTCCCCCCTCCCCTTCTCTTTGCCCCACGAGCGCTCACTCGGTGGTTGCGTTACGGCTGGCGGGGAGTGCGGGAGGGGGGGGGGGGCGGCTAAGCGCGCTCGCACGGCACAGAGAGCATCCTGAGTGCCTCCGTCTAACGCCCGAGGAACAAGACTCACTGGCCCGGCTGAGTTGATTGACACTGGCGGATTAGAGCTGGGGCGCGCTCTGTCGCCGACTAGCGGGACCGCCCGCCCAGCCCGACTCGTCGCCCGTCTCTGTCGCGAGAAAGACACAGAGCGACCAACCCGACCGCTTCTCTGAACAGCTCGGCAGGTCTTGGGCGAGAGCGCCGTGCGCGTAGGCAACCCTCCTGCGTGCGCGCCCAGCGGGCTGGCAGCGTGGCCTCGTCGGGCTGACGCGCTTCCTCGCCGGGGAGGTGGATGAACCCCACGATGAATGGGCCGGGGTGCAGCCATCGCGCGATGGTTGTACCCCGTACAACCATCATGGGATGGCTGGGTCGGACTGGGTACATGTACCCCTCGGTACACTTCTCCAAATGGTGCATTCATGGCACGACAGCGGCCGGGCCGACGCGCGCTGCTCGCCGCGATCCACGCGGCGCCGAGCCATTACCATGCCGTGCCGTGCCGTGCCGCGCCACGCCGTCACGCTCGCGTCGCGTTTCCGGGAGCGCTGCACGCCGTCGGTGCAGTGCGAGTGTGGCGAGGATCTGCGATTCGCGAAACGACTTTGGTTCTCAAGTGGCGGGGCGTGGCGGGGCGTGGCGGCGCGGCCGTCGTCGAGGACGTGATTGGAAAACGAGCCGGGAGTCCTGAGAGGCGACCACCACGACGACGACGCGGTCGCGCTCCTCCGTGTTCCGCGCCCTCCGGAAATGCCTGTTGCGCTTCAAATAGACGGGTCCGGTTGGCTCGGCTCAATTCGCGGCCGAAACAAACTGTACTCGTCCGTACCTGTGGCCCTTCACCGCAAGGTGAAGGCTACATTGTCCTAGCCACGGCCGGGGCCGGTGTGTGTGTGTGTGTGTGTGTGTGTGTGTGTGTGTGTGGTGTGTGTGTGTGTGTGTGTGCCGCCTGTCGGCGCCTGTCGGTCTGTCTGTATATCCGTCCGTCCGTCCGTCTGCCAGCTCACTGTAATATTGTCCCAGTCAAGGACACGCCACACAAAAGTGGTCCTGGGACAAATCGGACAACATGCGTTCGCGTTATCCGCATTATTTGGGGTGAGTGAGCGTGAGTCAGTGCTCCGCTTGGCTCCGCTTTGCTCGCGGCCGGGATCGGGAATCCGTGGGGAAATCCCTCGGTGCTTTGTGGAGGCAGCCGCGCCGCAAAGTTGGCGCCGGGCTTTCAAGTCTTGTTTTCAGCCACCGCGCACACAGTGTGCCGCACAGCGTGCCACACAGTGTGCCAGCCACACACGCCGCTGTTTTTTGCCGGTCTCTTTTTCCCGTCCGTTTTGATGTTCACATGTTGAGTCGACCAAGGCCGCCAAGGCCGCCGCGTGACATACGGCACACGAACGCACGCTAGGGGGGGGGGGTCTGGGAACGACGCGAGCGGATCACGCTCGCTTCGCTGGGAAGAGACGAGGCGCCTGCCGAATAGAGTGCCGAGTAGTTGCATATTTTGGACACGGGCAAGGGGGAATCGGTTCGTCCATGTTTGTAACAGTGTGCCGTCTGTCGGTGCCGCTCCGTGGCGGTGCCACAGGCTGGCCAATCTCGGGCTAAGTTACTCTGCTGATTAATATTGCCCCTGCGGCTGACAGCGCTGCCAGCCCTGCGGCCCCCTGGCCTACCCTGGCCCTGCCGAGCGTCCTGCCGACGACGGCACGGACAGGCCAAGACAGGCCGGCTCACGGCGATATCGACGCCAACCCCGGCGGGGACGCTTCTAGCCTTGCTTCTAGCCCGGCCCGGCCCGGCCCGGCCCCTCCGACTCCGACGACGCCAGCGAGGAGCCTCCGACAGTGTGACCACGCAGCAGGGTGGCCACCCCAGAAGAAGGGGGACGATCGCACGACGCAGTGCCAGTACGACGTCGAAAGGCCCGCCCGCCAACTGCTCCTGACAAAAGGAGGCAATCTGAGATAGGCAACCCTCGCCCAAGCGCACGCTGGTTTTGTTAGCGTGTCGAGGGGCTTCATCGCTATGCACCACACATACACGCACTCTGCAGCACGCACGTCGGGTCGGGTTGGCGCGTCGCGTCGCGGCGTTGGCGCGGCTCGGCAGGGCCCGGCCCGGCGGTGTCCTGGCCCGGCGTCCCGGCCCAGCTGGCCGCGCTCCACGCTCCATATTTACCGTCTCGATGAGCTCGTGCCGGTCCGGAGCGCGTGCCCGTCCGTGCGCACCGCTCCACATTTAACCCCTCCAGCGGGCGACCCGCAAAGGCCCCTCGGCCCCGCAGAGGCCCCGCAGAGGCCCCGCGGCCCCGCGGCCCCGCGCGTCGCAAGTCTCCCCACAATAATAGCTCGGTCCGGTGGCTTCGCCCCATCTCTCTCGCACGGCCGCGCGAAACACACGTGCGTGCGAGAGAGAGAGAAACTGGACGGAGGAAGCACTGCTAGCTGTGAATCAGACCACGCTTCCAGCTTCGGCTTTCTGGATTTTCCAATTTTTCGCTTCCACTTTGGTTTCCGGGGGCTAATCTACTCGGGGGCATCGTCGCAAATAAGGTGGCGGGGCGGGGGGAACAGGAAAAGGGGGCGGGGGCAGGGGATGAAGAGACCCTTTGCTCGCAGAGCAAATCGAACTTTGGGTAAACAAGCCCTGAGACAAGACTCGGCTTGCGTTTCGAAGGTACACAAGCAATGAAAGGAAGGCCGGGCGGAAGGGCCAAGGGGCCAAAGGAAGGGCCGGAGGGGGCGCCCCCCGCGGGGGCGAGGGTGTCCGCAAGCAGCAGCAAAGCAGCGTCCCTTCGCTTCGGCCTTCGGCTCCTTCGGCCCTCTGCCCTCCCTGCTGGCTGTTTCGAGGGGCCAGTCGGCTAGTCATAGCGCTGGCTGCCAGCCGGGCTGCCTGCCGGGTCCC